GATAACACTAGGATTGCTCCAAGCAAGTTATACTTGACGACAAGTAATTTTTTTTAAAAAAAAAAAATCATAATTCCGCTATTGTATTTTTATACCAGCTGTATTTTTTTTCAATCCAACTATCTCACGAAAATTGAAGGAGAGTTGAACTATCAGTGTTTTAGCAGTGACGCTCAGGCTAGATACTTAACAACCAAAATGGGGGTGACTTATTTCTCAACTTTCAGTTTACAGACTCTTGCTTTCAAGAACCACTATTTTCCTTTCCTCTCTTTACTTTCTAAAGTTTCTTGCATCTTCTTACAAATGGCCTTTCTTGCCCTCTTCCTTTATTCAGTATCTTTTCAGTTCGTAAGACCTTTGCTCTTTTCTTTTCTCCAGGTGCTTCCACCTACCCTAGCAGCTTAGCCCAGCCAAGTCCCTCCTTTAACAGTCTTTAAGGTGGTTCATCACAGCTACTCCCAGAAGCTTTGCTGTTACAGAGTCAGACATAGTTGGAATACATTTGGAATTAGAACATCTTTCAAATGGATACATCCTAATGCCCTTTCTATTATTTGATTCACATGTTTCACATGTAATAGGTATAACTTCCCATTACTCTGTGTTGAAAGCATTTGCTTCAAAAGCCATGACACCTTTATCTCTGATCCAATTTCATAATAGATCCATTCAAAGTGGAGTTTTGAAACAAAAAATATTTTTGTACTGGATACTAATGAAAATCCTTCATTCATACTCCCCTTGCTTCCCCCCCCCCAAAGCAGATAATAGCTGGAAACCCAAAATAATGTAATTAAGATGTCATTGGAGGCCTGTTAACTATTTCACGGACTCCCCGTTTTCTGGAAGTTGGTGCAGTGGTGCTCAGCTTTTCTTCTTGGTTTCCTCCTCCAGGCTTATTTTGGTGGAGAAGCCCGTTGTGATGCTGAAGCTGGACAAGGAGACGATTACGACCCTCGGGAGCTCATCTGCGGTGCCTGCTCTGATGTATCGAGAGCTCAGGTAGCGAAGCCTTTTCCTTCTGCCCTTTCAGTGACATGTTCAATAAATCAGGGGTCTCCAACCTTGGCAATTTTGAGACTTATGGACCTCAACTCCCAGAATCAAGACAGCTCAGCAGTTGTCAAAGTTGGAGATTCCTGCAATAGATCATGCATCTTCATATATCTTAAATAAGAAGAGTCAGTGTTCATACTCTTCAGCTTAAGCTGTGGTTTTTTATCCTTTTCCCCCCCCCCCCCCCACAGATGTGTCCCAAACACGGTACAGATTTTCTAGAGTACAAATGCCGCTACTGTTGTTCGGTGGCTGTTTTCTTTTGTTTCGGGACCACCCATTTTTGCAATGCTTGTCACGATGACTTCCAGCGAATGACAAGTATTTCGAAAGAGGAGCTTCCTCACTGCCCTGCAGGTAATGATTTAAAGTGTCATTAAATTATATTTCTGAGCTGTCTTTGACCACTGTCAATTGCAGTGGTGTTCTTCCAGATGGGGTTTGGAAGCCTTAAAATAAACGTAAGTTAGATTAGTTTTGCCTAAGAATTTCCAGTGTAGGTCACAGTAGATCAGTTACATTCAGCTGTGCATGTGAAATTGCATACATTGTGAGAAGAAAAAATATTAATAGGTTTATGAAGCAAAGTCAGTTGCAATGGTCTAGCTCAGGGGTAGGCAACCCAAAACACTTAAAGAGCCACTTGGACCCGTTTCCCACCAAAAACAAAACACTGGGAGCCGCAAAACCCTTTTGATATCTAAAATGAAGATAACACTGCATATATCCTTTTTTACCTTTATTATAGGTGTGTGTGTTTGTGTGTGTGGGGAGGTATTTGTGTGTGTGTATGTGTGTATATATGTATATGTATGTATGTATGTGTATGTATATATATATACACACACACACACACACACACACACAGGTTAAAAAAAAGGATATATGCAGTGTTATCTTCATTTTAGATGTCAAAAGGGTCTCTCTCTCTGTCTCCCTCCCTCTCTATCTGCCCTTGGTCTGCCACTCCTCTTCCCCCGCTGTCTTTCTTTCTCTCTCTCTCTCTCCTCTCTCTCTCTCCCTCCCTCTCTCTCTTTCTCTCTCTCTCTTTCTCCCCCCCTCTCCTATCTGCTGCTCACCTGGCAAGCTTCAAGCTGTTGTCCAACAAGATCAGGGTAGGCAACCTCGTCTCTTTTATGACTCATGGACTTCAACTCCCAGAATTCCTGAGTCAGCCTAGCTGGGCTAGCTAGCTCTCTCCTGCCCTTCCTGCTTCCTGCAGAGACGCAGCAAAGGGAGGAGTTCCGCCCAGTAAGCTTTTCAGCTCCTCGGAGAACACTCTGAGTGCACTCTCTTTTACACACACACAGAGAGAGAGAGAGAGAGAGAGAGAGAGAGAGAGAGAAGCAGGGAAGCGCAATTGCCTCTCTCTGTCTCTCTCTCTCTGCAAAGGCAGAGGAGGCTGGGAGCCACAGGGGAAGGCTCAAAGAGCCGCATGCAGCTCCGGAGCCGCAGGTTGCCGACCTGTGGTCTAGCTGTTCCATGGCATTAAAGGGCTCACCCTTGGTCATCAGCATGGTAAAACTACACCAGGCCAAATAGAACTAGGGAAAAAACGTGATTAAATACCAGGCAACCACAAATTCTATTGCTAAGTGAGACATTTGTTGAGTTATGCCCCATTTGCCACAGTTAAGTGAATCAGCGCAGTTGTTTAGTAAAACGGTTGCTAAGTGAATCTGGGTTCCCCATTGACTTTGCTTGTCAGGTGGTAGCAAAAGGTGATCAAATGACCCCCAGGACACAGCAACAATCATAAATATGAGTCAATTGTCAAGTGTCTGAATTTTGATCATGTGACCATGGGGATGCCCAAACAGTTGTTTGAAAAACAGCCATAAGTCACTTTTTTCAGTGCCATTGCAACTTCAAATGGTCACTAAAGAACTGTGGTAAATCTACCAGGGATAGTCAACCTTGGCTCTTTTATGACTCAGGAATTATGACTCAAGACTGAAGTGCATAGAAGCCCTTTATTTTTATTATTATTTATAAAGTTGATTGGGCGCCCATTTTACCACCAGCTAATTCTGGGCAGCTTATAATCCTAATTACGTATAATTAATAATTATATTATTTTCATTATATTATAAAATTGTAAATGCATTATACAAATTATATTTGGATATACAAATTAAAATATTTTTAAAAAAAACATATTCTAAATAATGAACCTAAATAATAATTTATAAAGTTTATTGGTCACCCATTTTACCACCAGGTTAACTCTGGGCAGCTTGTAATCATAATAATTATGGATGGTTATTAATCATTATATTATAAAATTATAAATACATGATACAAATTATATTTGGATATACAAATACAAATTATAAATAAACATACAAAAATGTTTAGAAAAATATTATAATCTATAAAATGTATTGGCCTCCCATTTTACCACCAGGTAACTCTGGGCAGCTTGTAATCCTAATAATTATGGATGGTTATTAATAATTATATTATTTTCCTTATATTATAAAATTATAAATACATGATACAAATTATATTTGGATATACAGATACAAATTATAAATAAATATACAAAAATGTTTAGAAAAATACTATAATCTATAAAATGTATTGGCCTCCCGTTTTACCACCAGGTAACTCTGGGCAGCTTGTAATCGTAATAATTATGGATGTTTATTAATAATCATATTATTTTCATTATATTATAAATACATTATACAGATTATATTTGGATAACACAAATTCAAATTATAAATAAATAAATAAAAATATTTTTTTAAAAAACGTTATAAATAACGAACCTAAATGATAATTTAACTTTTAATAAAGATCCTCCTCCTTAGAGGTCCAGGGAACCCTCCTACGTCTTCCTGGCGATGCGGCTGGGTCGGGCCCGGGGGAGGGAAGCCGCCTGGGAGACGGGGGGGGGGGCAGCTCAGACGGGAAGGAAGCCCCGTTGACGGCCGGCTTGGCCTCCCTCTCTCCCCTTTTCCCTCTCAGGTCCCAAGAGCAAGCAGCTGGAAGGAGCCGAGTGTCCGCTCCACGTCGTCCACCCGCCCACCGGCGAGGAGTTCGCGCTGGGCTGCGGCGTCTGCAGAAACGCGCACACCTTCTAGCCGCCGCGGAACGACGGAAACCAGCCCGGGACCATTTGGCCAGCACGGCGCCGGGGCCTGCCGCGCCCCCGAGCTCAGCCTCTGAGGCGCTTGCATGCGGCTACGATGCGCATCGCCCCCGGGGCCTGGCCGAGCAGGCACTCCGGAGGCCGCTGACTTCGCCCGTTCCTCCTCCTCCTCCTCCTCCTGAATGCCGGACAGTGGCTGCCGCGGGCAGGGCTAGGGCGGGAGGCAGGCAGCGGCGGGATCCCCCCTCTCCCCTGTTCGGGCTCAGCCGCAGCCCTCGATGTCAACCAGTCTCGGTCGCGCTGTGTAGATCTATATATGTATATGTATATATATATGCATATATATATATACATATATATACATATATATATATATATATAAAAAAAAAAAAAAAACACCAGCCTGAAGATGACGAATGTGACTTCGTCGAAACGTTGCCAAGACACTTCCAATTTTACGCGGGAGAAAACCCGAACAACCAAAGACCTATATATGCATATATATATACGTGCGCCGTGTCAATGTCTGTCCCGCCTCAAGTCCTGGATTGTAAACGGCGGGCTTCCTTTCCTCCCCGCTGGGGCTCCGGGGGCGCCGTCCGGCCGAAGTGCACTTCCGAAGGCGCCTCCCCACCCAGCAGCGTTGCCCAAGGGAATGTAGCCTCAATAAAGCCACGCGGGGCCTTTTCCTACCTGAGACTCTTGAGAATTCTTGCCGGGGGGGGAGGGAGGGGCGGGGCTGAGCGTGCGCCGTGCCGCCTTCCGCCATCTTGACCGGCGCGAAGTAAACAAGGCGGCGAGTGCGGTCGGGGGGGGGGCTGGGGGGGGAACGCGTGGCAAGCGGCGGCTTCGTTGAGACGGACGCACCCTCCCCTCCTTCATGGGGTGCTGGGAGAGAAGGAGGCAGCCGAAGCCGTGGCGCCCGGGGTAGGGCTGGCAGCGGGGTGAGTGGGAGGGGGTGTTGCCATGGCGACTAGGGAAAGGAGCGGCGGCGGCGTTGGAGGCTTTTCCTCGGGGCGCCGTCGCCGCAGCCGAGACGACCCCGGGAGCATGAAGCGGACGGCGAGGCGAGCGGACGACCCCGAAGGCGGAGGCAAGCGACGGGAGCTGCCCGGGCTGGACTGGGCCTCGCTGCTGCCGGAGGTGCTGCTGCGCGTCTTCCAGCACCTGCCGTTGCTGGACCGCGCGCGCGCCTCGCAGGTTTGCCGCGGCTGGCAACGGGCCTTCCACCTGCCAGAGCTGTGGCGCCGCTTCGAGTTCGAGCTGGGCCAGCCGGGCGTCGCAGCCACCCACCCAGAGCTCATCAAGCAGATCCTCAAGCGCCACGCCGGACACCTGCAGTACGTCAGCTTCAAGGTGAGCCCAGGCTGGTGGGGGCCCGGCCCGGCCCCTTTCTGGCCTCTGCTGAACCTGGCCCTGCGCGGCCAGCTGTCCGAGGGCCCCAAATACGGGAGGGGAACGCCTTGTCTATTGAGAAGAAGGGCTAGGGGTGACCTGTTAGCAAGTATTCCAGTATATGAGGGGCTGCCACAAAGAGGAGGGAGTCAAGCTATTCTCTAAAGCACCTGAAGGCAGGACAAGAAGCAAGGGATGGAAACTAACCAAAGAGAAAAGCAACCTAGAACTAAGGAGAAATTTCCTGAAAGAAGAATTAACCAGTGGAACGTCTTGCCTCCAGAAGTTGTGGGTGCTCCATCACTGGAAGCTTTTAAAGAGACTGGACAGCCACTTGTCTGAAATGGTATAGGGTCTCCTGCATGAGCAGGGGGCTGGGCTAGAAGACCTTCAGAGTCCCTTTCAGCTCTATTCTGGTTGATTGATCTAACTCTTCCTACTCTCTCTTCTTGTACCACATACCCACTTCTTAGCTACCCCATCTCCACCTCATTTGGCTTACATTTGCATTTTTTTTAAACATGGCTGACTCTCCTAGAAACTGGACAGTCACGTGTCTGAAATGGTATAGGGTCTCCTGCTTGAGCAAGGGATTGGACTAGGAGACCTCCAAGTCCCTTCCAGCTGTGTTATTCTGCAGTATCCTGCTCTAATCTGTGGGAATAATGTCCTCTTGGTGGCGTCTCATTTCTGCACTCCCATTTGACCAATTCACAGGGGTTCCACATTTCCCCATTGGGCTCTGTAGATGAATTGTTTTCTTCTCTGAATCTCAGAACTGCTCTGATTAAATTGTCTTGCCACTGAATTGAACAATACATCTCCCAAATCCAGTTCAATCAGAATCGGGGGTGATTTGCAGATATCTGTATCTGATTTGATATTAAGCCTGCCTTCCAACAATGGAGAGCAGAAAACGTCAGCAGATGAAAAGGGGTTTTGCTTGCTGGAGCAAAATATAGTTCCTGCTGAGCAGGAGTCCCTAAGGCAGTGGTTCCCAACCTTTCTAATGCTGCGACCCCATAATACAGTTCCCCATGTTGTGGTGACCCCCAACCACTTATACATCATCGGGTGCCAGGGGCGTGGCCAAGGAAAAGGGGAAAAAATGGCGGACAGCCTTGTTTGGCGACCTCCATGAAATGGTCGTTTGACCCCAAATGGGGTCCCGACCCACAGGTTGAGAACCACTGCCGTAAGGGAAGGAAGCTGCTTCTCAGTCAATGTGTACTCTGATTGAAAGTAGGAGAGCACTCTGAAGTTTCTGCCCTGGGGAGTGCCAGCATTGAATATCAGCCACAGACAGGCCTCCCTTTCTCAGTTGGAGTTGGGAGCCTGGCTAGCTTTTCCCCAACTGCCTTCAGCCCTTCTGAAGTCTTGCAGCGGATGAGGACATAGGTAGAGAGAAAGGATTGAAAGAGAATTGCAGGAGCTGGACCAAGGTGGTTAGAAGACAGGAGAAAGAAGTAGCAGAATGGAGAGAAGTGGAAGAAATTACTGGTGGACAATGAGCAGATGAATTCAATCCTGGTGGATTAAATGTAAAATCACGGAACTGAAATAAAATAAAATAAAATAAGATAACCTGTTTTTAGGAATGACACTGACCACAGTACTGAAACTTCAAATTCTTGGGCAGTTGAAGACAGACTGAAATAAACATGGATTTATAGCAGGTAAAATTGGTGCTCCTGAGGTGCTTTGAAGAATAGAAATAGTGACTTGTGACTGGGAATAAGAATGGTAGTTTCTGAGGAGGAATTAACAGATTGAACAAAATCTGTAAAATAACATGCAGGCAAAAGAGAGATAGAACATTCCAAGCAAGCCAGCTACTCAAGAGAGCAGCGAGGGGCAAAATATGGGGAGGGTGTTCCAAAGAGTGTACTTGAGAAGAAACAGTGGCATCATGCAACAAAGTTAACCAGGGTTAAAAGCTTTGCCTGCGTAACTACTCATTCCCACGAAGCTGAATAGCCCGTGGTGATGGTAAGATTATTATTTCCACAATCTATTAAGATACATGAAAGGCTTAACGAGTCCGTGACTTGTTAGCTAAAAGCAGAAGTTCATTTGAGATTTAGCAAGGTTCAAACCTGGACTTGCAATATTTTGGTTTTCAGGAAAGTAAATTTGAAAGTTTAGATTCCAATTTCTGCCAATTGGGAATGACAGCTGTAGTGCATTTGGATGACAGAAAATCTCAGGCCGCCTACTCAGATGAAAAAGAACCCCCTAGGTTGGGAGACTATACCTTTGCTAAACCTTTCCACAGCAGAGTATGTCATGCCAACATTGTCTTTTCCTAGAAAATCTGGTCTAATCAGCCCCTTTTGTTGAAGATGTCATTCTCTTCCTTGGTAGTTAAGGGAGCAGACACAGAAAAATGGCAGCAAGCAAGACAGGGCGAGGGCCATTACTGTGATTAACACAAGTGATAATAACACCCACAACAGTTGAATGTTTCATTAGTCCCACCCATACACTGATCATGTGTGATTACCTTGGGAGTCCTTACACAAAGTTTGTGTTATGGATTTAAAATGTTATGTTTGACTAACAGTAGTCATTTTACAGATCATTTTATACATGATGGATTACTGAACTCAATGAATTGTGTACAGGTCCATTGTTTTACTTGAACAAGTAAATTTCATTTGCATTTTTTAATGGATAATGTTATGCAAAAATCTGAAAAAAATTCCTTATTTGCAGCGCTTTTTTGACCCTGACATGAAAACATGGATAGATAGAATAGATAATACATAAATAGAATAGGGAAAAGGAAGAGGAAAAGGAAGAAGAATAGAGTAGAGTAGAGTAGAGTAGAGTAGAGTAGAGTAGAGTAGAGTAGAGTAGAGTGGAATAGACAATATGAAATAGAATGGAATGGAATGGAATATTTTGTTTGGTTGCAAGTTATTTTTAAGTTCTAATAGTATCTTAGGTGTCTGTATTTGGGTACTACTATGGTATATGTTAACTCTAAAGATTACTTTGTTTAAAACAAAATGATTACTCAACCTTTTAATTTTTTGATAATCTTAATTATATGTTGTGAATCATCATTTCAAAAAAGGAACTGATAGAGAGTAGACCAAGAGGACAACAGGTAATTTTAAAATTATTTTTACATTTATGCTGAACCTGAGGAGGGATGTTGAATATTTGCCTCAATAGATATTTCCTCTGGGTGTGAAAGATAGATAGATAGATAGATAGATAGATAGATAGATAGATAGATAGATAGATAGATAGATAGATAGATAGATAGATAGATAGATAGATAGATAGATAGTGAATTAGTCTTTTGTGTTTTCCAGGACAATTGAGAATACCTCAGACATATTTTTACCCCATCTAATTCCTATTCCTTTCAGTTTCTATCATGGTAAAGCCTTAAAACAACTGTGGGGCTGCTCATAAGTTAGTTAAAAAAAAAAAATGAAAACCGGAAAAAGGGCCTTAGAACCTGACACAAAAATGTCATTCCTTCTCTCTCCCTTTCTTCCTGGTGTTTCTTTTCTGGTTGTGGCAGGATAGTTGGTTGTACCAAATTCAGTAATTACATGAGTTCATTCCAGTTAAAGTACATTTATGCCAGATGGCATGTGGAGAAACCAGCTGTGAAATTTCTGAGGACAGCCTCACCAATGGCCTAGGAATCCATCTTCTAACACCTTTTAATAGCAGAAGATTTTTGCAAGATGGGTAGTAGTCAGAAGATTGATTTAATAAGCCAGACAGCTGTTAAAGCTCATAAGCCAGAAAGAAGCAGGCTCTAAGCCAGCATACCAAAGTAGAATTAGACACCTTGGGCCATAAAGAGATCGGGTGAAACATGACAAAAATGCTAAATAGAAATGTGAAGAGCCCTATGGATATCCAGTCTGTGCCATGAGTTTTCTAGGAAGGTTTCGGACAGAAAAAGGAAGGATTTGTATTCCATATGAAAAGGTAAATTTAGTTTGTGAATGATGTCTAATGACAGACCATGGTCAACTTGTTAAGTAGCTTCTAGCTGAGAAGACAGGTTGATGCCACCACAAAAAACTTCCTGGTGGTGACATTGAAGAGATTAAATATGAAGGTTTCGATGGAGGCATCACAAGATTTTGAGAACCATTTGTAGACTCCAGGTAGGGAACCAGTGAATAGCAGCATTATTTGACAGGATTCCCCCTCAGAGACATCTGTGAAGATGAAATATTTTTCCCCCTCTCTAATCAGGTCTGAGAATATGGCTTCAAGATGTGTTAGGCCTCTCATCCATCCTCTTATGTTTTTTTATGCTCTGTTGTTTCATCAACTGATATGTTGATTACTTCCTGGACAAAGGAATGTTGAAATGGCAATCTTATGTAAATCTCCTGTTTAGAATCTAGGTGGATCCAAGCATGGGATTGAAAGCGTGAGAACAGATTTGGAATGATTGGCAGGAAGGTTGCATTCTGGATAACTGATCTTGAAATCAAGATCTGGTTGCCTTTTGAATTAATTCCTCAAATTTTCTGATACCCTGATATATGGGTAAATTTCTAGCTAAAGAAGAGGCGCTCCCAAATGCCATATTAGAGTTTTCAAATCTAGCAAATGGCAAGTTGCTGCCAAGAGCCTTTTCTTCCTGTAGCCACACAACTTGGACTGGGTGAGATTCCAGAAGGCAAGAGTTGCTGAGATGGTTGGATCTACTTCCCCATCTGCTTTGATTTTGGAGTAAACAATCTACAGGGATTAACGTGTACACTTGATGGTTAATGCCCATTGAGGTGAGCGCTGGCTGGAAGGAAGGGAACAGATTTTCTGCCAAGGCAATAGCCTGCTGAGTGAAAACTGTTGGTGACCCAGTCTGATGGATAACAATCGATCGGGCTTACAAGTGCTCACATGAAAAACACATCTAAGCTTTTAATATGTCTGAAGTTTCTGGGTGAGGAAAAACCTTGAAGCCCCAAAGGATCTTGCAGAGCCAACAACAACAACAAAAAAGCACTACAGATGTTCAATCCTTCTCTGCATGAAGGCCTAGAAAATAGCTGAAAAGAATCAAAAAGAAAATAAGATAAAGAGATGGGATGTGTGTTCTCTGCTTCCCTAGCAATAGGGAGATTTCCCCATTTTGCATCAAGTGAATGAATGCCCATTAGCCTTATCTGTTTTCTGTTCTTCAACAAGTGTGCCCTTTTTTGGAAAACATAACTTTCTTTCACGCTGAGGTTCAAATCAGGATTGCCAAGAGGGAATTAAAGTTGTTCACTGTTTCAGCTTCAAGAGAAAAAAAGCCCGCAAATCGTAGCTCGCCAATATAGTAACAATGAATAACCGAAGCAGGAAAGGCAGAGAAAAGATGAGAGGCACAATCTTGATTAATGATTTATGGCAGCGTATAAACCAAATTACTGTTTTGTTTCCCTAGAGCTGGTTGTTGTCCTGTACAGCAAGTAGCATTTTGACCTAAAAGAATTGATAGCCAGCTCCACATTTAGTTCTTAAGAGCTCGGTATGAGTTCTATTATTCATGCATTATTCTGAAACATTCACCATGCACATGGGTACAAACATACATCACAACAATTCATAGAGGACTTGGCATACATAAGACAGAGATGGCTGGAACACAAAGCAAAATACAGCACAATGGAGAACACCTGCTTGGAGTGAGTTACTGCCTGGAACGATGTCTGTGAGGGTGGTGCTTGTTGTTTGTTTGCTTGTTATAAGCAGGAAGATAATCTGCAGCATTTTGTTGCAGATTCTGCTCTGGTGATAAGTAATGCAACCTCCTTCCCCTAAAATAGGGTTTTCTCATTCAGTGCCTCATAGCAGGAACAACACCAGCATTATTCCTTTTAGTTTATTTCTGGCGTTCAAATGCATTTTCAGTCAACAGCAAAGTATATACCGTGTTTTCCCAAAAGTAAGGCCTACACCGACAATAAGCCCTTGCTTGATTTTTGAGGGTGGGCCTAGTATAAGCCCTATCCCAAAAATAAGCCCTAGTTTTGGAGCAAGGCACATACCTAAAAATCAAGCTAGGGCGGAGGTGGGGAGGTGGAGCTGCCCCATCTGCCCTGCACTAGGCCTCTCCTCGCCAGCCCACTTCTTCTGGGGCCTCTTCTGCAGCCAGGCCTGCATTTTTCAGTCACAGGGCTTTCCAGAAGGCCCCTGCCGTGGAGAAGTGAGATTCTGCAAGACCTCAGCAGCCGAGCACCAGGCTATGGATTGAATCCATAGCTCAGTACTTGGCTGCTTAGGCCTTCTGGAAAGGCCTGACTGCAAAATGCAGGCCCGAATGCAGCTGCAGAACTTCGGCCCCAGAAGAAGTGGACTGGCTGGGTGGGGCTGTCGCTGCCGGAGATGAGGTAAGGCCTACCCCAAAAATAAGACCTGGTGCTTCGTTTGGAAGCAAAAAAATAAAAATAAGACCCAGTCTTATTTTCGGGAAAACATGGTAGTGTTTGAAGTGACTATCCATTAACTTTTTGGTTTCTTTTTCAGGTGGATAGCAGCAAGGAATCAGCTGAGGCTGCTTGTGATATTTTATCCCAGCTTGTGAATTGTTCTTTAAAGACCCTCGGACTGATTTCCACCGCTCGACCAAGTTTTATGGATTTACCAAAGGTACTGAGCAGGCTTCCAATTTGGTCTGGTTGGTTACCAGCGAGTCTGAAACAAATGGTGGACACATTGTCATGACTGGGCTTTCTCTTCCAGGCACACAGAGTAGGAGAGGTGTGTTAGTTCATGCTGGGAAAAAAAGGAAAAAAAAATCAGAAAATGTCTGGTCGTCCCTTTTCTAACTAACACACATCCTTCATTTGTATCAAAAGTCAGTGCTATCAGTCCCAGCAGCAACTCTTGAGTCTGCCACTCCTAGTGAAACTTAAAAGAGAAACCATTCAGAACAAAACTGAGAATGCAACAAATCTATTTGTCTTGAAGATTGGATTTATGACCTGCCCTTTAAAAAAAAAAAGAAACACTCAAGGCAGTTTATAATGAAAACAACAGGAATGTAGAAATAGCAAAATTAATAACAGTTAAAATTGAAACCCCAAATAAAATCAGCTGCTGAAGTAACGAACAGTAAAGGCTTGTGAAAGAATGTGTGTTTTTATTCTCTCCTGAACACCCTGAGAGGAAGAGCCAGACGTGTGATTTGTAATCTGGAAGCCCTGCAGGAAAAAGCTGTTTTCCATTTTCCTGGGAGTTGAGCTCTGGGCTGCAAGAGGCAACTTCAGAAGGGTGTTTCCTGCCAAGCAGGGCTACTGCGTGGGATCCTGGTGGGAGGGGCAGTCTCACTCCAAGCCACTGAGGGCCTTTAAGGTCAATACCAAAACCAAGTTGTGCTCAGTAGACATTTTTAGACCTTTTGGCACGGCTTAAACAGTCACAACTGAGCCCAACCTTTCTGGCTGCGCAACTGCTGAGTGAATTACTGCAATAGTTAAATGAGCCTGTTGCAATTGTGAAGTGAATCTGGCTTCCCCATTGATTTCGCTGGTCAGAAGGTCACAAAAGGAGTTCACGTGACACGTACGATAGTTGCAGTGTGTTGTTCAATGTCGGGATGCTGCAACTGTCATTAATACAGGCCGGTTGCCAAGTATCTGAATTTTGATCACACGGTCATGGAGATGCTGCAACAGTTATAAGTATGAAAAACGGCAATAAATCACTTTGCCGCTATAACTTTGGTCACTAAACAGACTGTTGTAAGTCGAGAACTACCAGACAATAGCCAAGTTGGCCCCTTTTTCTGACCCTTTTCGACTAAAGAGCACTGCAGTAGTGAAGAGAGAGTGTAACTAAGGCAGTGGTTCTCAACCTTTTTAATGCCGCGACCCCCCAACTGGTCGTAAGTCAAGGACTAATCAACCGGTCGTAAGTCGTGGACTACTCAACTGGTGCAGCACCGTTTGCAGAATGGGACTTTTGGCGGGCTCAGCAGGGCAGAGACAGCCTGGACAATTCCTATTGGCTTTTGAAAGCCAATAGAACTAGACTCTATTCAAGAGAGTCTATTCTATTGGCTTTCAAAAGCCGATAGAATAAAAGGGAGTAGCACAGCTAAGGAAAAGGGGGGAAAAAATGGCAGACTGCGTTGTTTGGCGACCCCCGTGAAATGGTCGCTCGACCCCAAATGGGGTCCCGACTCACAGGTTGAGAACCACTGAACTAAGGCCTGCAAAACTGTTGCTCAAGAGTAAGGGGTGCCAGTCCTCACCACTGCTGCCGCCCAGAGACGCTTCCCTTCCGTACCATGTCTGGATTGAATTTCAGTGGATTCTCCCTCATCCAGCTCATTAATTAAAATAATTGAGCAGGGCTTCCTTGGATTTGGAAGGTGGGAAGTCCTCCTCCCAAGATCTGGATGGTTTCACATGGGTGTCAGCCCGCAGAAGTGGCCAGCCAAAGCCTAGATATGGAACCGTGGTTTCATGGCACTACCTTCTGGGCACACCCTGACAGGAAGGCCTGGGTGCTGCTGCCCTGGCCTCTTCCTTTCAGCAAGATCCTCCCCTCTTGGAAGCCACCAAGACCGCCCTCCTGCATGTGGCTTCTGGGGTGGGCGGCAGGAGGGTCTCATTTATTCCGCCCCAGGATAATTTCCCCATTTCAGACGTGAAGGGATTTTATTGTGCTTATGATTTTAGTATGTTTAAGTTTGACATTAGCATTTATTTTATATATGGCAACCATTTTATATTGATACTTATAGTGTTATCATGTAATCATTGTTTTGTTATTTTGTAATCATTATTTTGTAGTTAATTGCTTGATCAGATGCTTTACATATATATTGGAAAAGTAAGGGCTTCATGCTTTAAGTCAGTGGTTCTCAACCTTTTTAATACCGTGACCCCCAACCGGTTGTAAGTCGAGGACTACTCAACCGGTCGTAAGTCGAGGACTACTCAACTGGTGCAGCACCGTTTGCAAAATGGGACTTTTGGCGAGCTCAGCAGGGCAGAGACAGCCTGGACCATTCCTATTGGCTTTTGAAAGCCAATAGAATGAGACTGTATTCAAGAGAGTCTAATTCTATTGGCTTTCAAAAGTCAATAGAATAAAAGGGAGTAGCACAGCTAAGGAAAAGAGGGAAAAAATGGCGGACTGCGTTGTTTGGCGACCCCCGTGAAATGGTCGTTTGACCCCAAATGGGGTCCTGACCCACAGGTTGAGAACCGCTGCTTTAGGTACAGGGGATTGCTTATATGAAAAGAGCACAGTAAGGGGAGGGGGAAAAGGAGTTACGGATGGAGCCTGGGTTGCTGTGTATGAGTCATCATCTAAGAATTAATTTTTTTTGTGCCATCTTATGCCTGGTACCAAGACCGGATCTTTTTGTTCTGGAAAGGTATAAAAGGTAGACGACATCTTTTCTGGTTGTTGCCTTCATTCCTGTACCAGCCACGAAGAGGAATCAGGCAGCCCCTCTCTGTTTTGATCAAAATAAAGTTGTAATCTTTGTTGAAACCTCGGCTCAGGACTTTCTTTGGCTCTTTTAAATTCCTGAGTAACGCTGGGGCAATTGTAAGGCTAAGTGGAAAACCTTACAGACGGTACTGGATTATAGTTCTTAGTAGCCAAGGTGGAGGTCTGCTCTGCCCCCCGCCCCCCCCGTGGCAGCCCCATTCTGGACAGACCATCGGTTGGAAGTCTGGCTAAAAAGGTTGAGACCAGGGTCTCTCATGTCACGAGGTGAGGGTCTGTAGGTTTAATCCATGAGCCGAGGTGGCGCAGCAGTGAGAGTGCAGTACTGCAGGCCACTTTAGCTGACTGTGTTCAGCAGGTCAGCGGTTCAAATCTCACCGGCTCAAGGTTGACTCCGCCTTCCATCCTTCTGGGGTAGGTAAAATGAGGACCCAGATTGTTGGGGGCAATGTAAATATATATATACATTGCTTACTGGTGTACACTGCTTAGAGAGTGTTTGCACTTAAAGCGGTATATAAGTCTCATAAATAAATTGCAATGAACAAAGGGTTGGGAGAGAAATTGGACCTCTATCCTACCAGGAAGAAAAAGACAATTCTCTTTTCTGTTACTGCAATCCTGTTTGCCTTACTGCCCTGGGAATTCTCCATTTCTTAAAATCTTTTCTTAACGAGTCTGTTTCTTGGTTCCTTTTTTATTTTGATGAACGCAGAATAAATTGAAAGCTTAAAACTCTGCACGCACTCGGACTCAAGTTAATCTGTGAAGAGGTATAGTGTTCAATAAAATGCGTTTTTAAATTTGCGATCTAAAAGGTTACCAAAGCATTTCCTAACCGTGTTGTTATTGAAGCGTCCTGAAAAAATATTCCTAAATAGAACTGGATTTTTTGGGGGTTCAAAATTTTATTATTTTTTTTAGATTAACAAAAGCATAAAATACAAAAGTATAAAGAAAGATGAAAGTAAATGAGGGGAGGAAAAGGGGAAGAGACAAAAGTTAGGGGGGGGGAAGGAAAAAAAAGCATTGACTTTCAACCTCTTATGGTGCAGCAGAATAGGATAATAACATGAAACCTCAACTATTTACTTTTATATAATAGTATATACTAGCCATTTCTATAACACCATACCTACCTGATCAGCAAAACCCAGATGATTTTTTTTTTAATTCACAGTATATTATTTCTGAGAAGCTGAAAAACATAGTGGTACTTTGGTTTCTTTGGAGTTTGCTGCTGTTTCCTGTTGATAAGCTGCATTTTAAAATGTGATCATTAAGTTTCATACCTCGATTTCAATATTTTCTCCCTTTTTACAGTCACACTTTATTTCAGCCCTAACCGTGGTGTTCGTAAACTCCAAATCCCTTTCTTCACTCAAGATAGACGATACGCCAGTAGATGATCCATCTCTCAAGGTGTTGGTGGCTAACAACAGCGATACCCTAAAACTCTTAAAAATGAGCAGCTGTCCTCATGTCTCTCCAGCAGGTAAGTTTGTTTTTGGAATATTTTTTACCCAATGAATAGTTTTGAAGTAGCAAATTCAAAATTAGAACTTATATCTGCAATTTCCAAAAATTCAGAATGAATTTGTTGTTGGAAAAATAAAAGGAGGAAGGAGTGTTAGATATGTTCATCACCTTGAGTTATTTATTTAAAAAAATAATAAAAGCAGGCCATAAATAAATAAACAAGCACCTCAGCAGCAGTTCTTTTGAAATCGGATAAAACAGTCAAATCTCTATTGTGTTCCTGCTGTCTTTACCAACTGTCAAAATGCACCTCTTGTGTGGTTCATTTCATCACACCTGCCAGGCCTCTCCCTGCTTTAGTCATTTCCACAGCACGTGATTCCTACCACTGGCAAAACGTTTTCCTGAGTAACGTGCTGCATTTTTTTAATAAAAAAATGACTTAATAGTTTCTGGCGAAGGAGGAATAGTTTATTTTATTATTCTAGAAAAGTAGGTGGAGGATCCTTAATTATGGGTAGTCCTTGACTATGACAGTGGTGGCAAACCTATGGCACACGTGCCAGAGGTGGCACTCAGAGCCCTCTCTGTGGACACGTGTGCCGTCGCCCCAGCCCCTCCTCCCCAGTGCCCCCCCCCCAGAAGAGAGTTGCCCCAGAGTGCGGCCCGCACAGAACAGCATAGCCAAGGACATGGCAGCCGGGCAGCGGGGACAAGACTCCGTCCTCACACCCCATCGCACACAGTTGATGCTGTGGGGCGCGGGTGGAGGGTGTGGCCACCATGGCGCTGTTGGGTCACCTGGGGGATCTGCAGCGGGCCGTGGAGGCGGTGAGTGGCCCTGCGGGTAGGCGGGGCGGAGGGAGGCAGGGCGGGGCCTGTTTTGGGGCACTTGGTCTCTAAAAGGTTCGCCATCACTGACCTATGACAATTGAGCCCAAAATTTCCACAGTTAAACAAGACAGTTGCCAAGACAGTTCTGTCCCATTTTACGACCTTTCTCGCCACAGTTGTTAAGTGTATCGTGGCAGTGATTAAGTTAGTAACACGGTTGTTAAGTGAATCTGGCCCTCCCCCATTTTCAGGCTGCCAAAGGGCATAACGTGATCTGTGACACTGCAGCCGTCATAAATACATGCCAGTTGCCAAGCAACCAATTTTTGATCATGTGACCACAGGGATGCTGCAACGGCCATAAGTGTAAAAAAACGGTCATAAGTCACTTTTTTCAGTGCCATTGTAACTTCGAAAGGTCACTAAACAAATGGTTGTAGGTCGAGGACCACTGGTAATGAATCATAGGAAGAAATTTTACTACATTATTAAAATCTAGATCTATTAGCAGGCTTAATTGCCAGGCTAAAATTCCAGGTCAGCTTTGTTATCCACAGGTGAGGAAATGCTTTAGTCCTCAGCACGATTCTTATTTCTAACCTACTCAAGTAGTTAGTTTTTGCATTTAACGTAGTGTGTTTCTATTTTGTGACAGGCTGAAGGCGAATTCATATTGTATTTTCTTTGCTTTTTCTAGGAATCCTCTGTGTAGCTGACCAGTGCCACGGTTTACGAGAGCTGGCGTTGAATTACCACTTGTTAAGCGATGAGCTCCTCCTGGCTCTGTCTTCTGAAAAACACGTCAGGTTGGAACATTTGCGCATTGACGTTGTCAGTGAGAATCCAGGACAGACGCACTTCCACCCCCTGGAGAGAAGCAGCTGGGACGCTTTCATCCGACATTCCCCTAAAGTGAATTTGGTGATGTACTTTTTCTTGTACGAAGAGGAATTTGATCCGTTCTTCCGGTACGAAACGCCGGTCACCCATCTTTATTTCGGGAGAATGGTCAGCAAAGAGGTCCTTGGGCGGGTGGGAATGACCTGCCCGCGACTGGTTGAACTGGTGGTGTGTGCCAACGGATTACGGCCACTGGACGAAGAGCTGATCCGCATCGCCGAGCGCTGCAAGAACCTGTCGGCCATTGGCCTCGGAGAATGTGAGGTCTCCTGCAGTGCCTTTGTCGAGTTTGTGAAAATGTGTGGCGGCCGTTTGTCTCAGCTATCTATAATGGAAGAGGTCTTGATTCCCGACCAGAAGTACAGCTTGGAGCAGATCCATTGGGAAGTGTCCAAGCATCTTGGGAGAGTTTGGTTTCCAGACATGATGCCCACCTGGTAGAGTTATTGGGGACAAACCCTTCGCTCTTGGGCCAGCCTTGTGGCAGCTTCGTCATAATAAGCAGCTTCGTGATCCTAGGATCTCTCAAGCACGGTAGAAAATCAGTCTACTCATTAGTCTGCTGCAGTGGTTCTCAACCTTTTTAATGCCGCGACCCCCAACTGGTCGTAAGTCGAGGACTACTCAACCGGTCGTAAGTCGAGGACTACTCAACTGGTGCAGCACCGTTTGCAGAATGGGACTTTTGGCAGGCTCAGCAGGGCAGAGACAGCCTGGACAATTCCTATTGGCTTTTGAAAGCCAATAGAATTAGACTCTATTCAAGCGAGTCTATTCTATTGGCTTTCAAAAGCCAATAGAATAAAAGGGAGTAGCACAGCTAAGGAAAAGGGGGGAAAATGGCAGACTGCGTTGTTTGGCGACCCCCGTGAAATGGTCGTTCAACCCCAAATGGGGTCCCGACCCACAGGTTGAGAACCACTGGTCTACTGGTTTCTAAAGCCCGAGTTGAAAAATTGACAACGGAGGAAGCAAACACTTGTTCACATGACTTTTTGTGTCGTTTGCTTTTTCTCCAACTAGACGGATGCAAACGTATGTAGACATTGACGTACATTTACATACTCATATTTACATATTCAGAGGCTACAGTTCCAAATCTTGTTCTGATAAATTATAGCATCTTAGTCTGGCTCTTGGAAATATTACTGCAACTGACTTAACATTTGTACGGAGCATATATATCACTTTGGTAGACATAGTCCAGGAAGGTGCAGACATTAACCTAGATTGTATAACAATGAATTGCTTCGATTTGTAATTCCAGATCCCAAACCATAACTGGGGGTTGTTGGTGTTTCTGTAACGTTATAAATATAAAGCCATGGGACACGGTATCTGGTTATATTTGTATGTGGAAAATAGAAGTATTTGCTTCTTATTAAAACTCTCGAGAAAAATCTAGTGGTATGGAAATTATTAGCAATTTCTTTTTTTTCCCCTCTGCAGTTTTTTAAATGAAAATGTAATAATCGTAAGGCAGTAACATCAATAATAAACCTGTTTTAAGGTATTACTAAAGCCTAATAAGCGAAAATATTAATGGGAGCCATACTCCGTATTGTGGGCTTTTTAAACATTGTATGCTAATTATTTTGGAGCATTGACTTTTTAAAATGTGCTGTACAAGTTTTCTAAGAACGGAAGCCATTCTTGTGAAGGTCTTTTAGAGTAAATCCTGACTTCCAGAGGTTGAATGGAAACTAAAATATGAGAAGTTGATAGTGATCAGCTTGGGTCCTCAGTGTCTGGAATAGCCCTGCTGTAGTGTAAAATGTGACCCCAGAACACATTCAAAATGGGCTGATTTCAAGCTCTGTCTCTTCTGCCAGTCAACCTAAGGTCAATTTGGAAGGCGTTGCAACAACAAAAAAGAATGGCTTTTCAGGTGCAATATCATCCATATCCCTTAAATCCCATTTCAAAACCCTGACAATGTTACAGGACAGCTTTTTAACTCTTTACCAAAATGAATTTTTTTTTTAAATTATAAGTTAGATGTTCCTTCCCATCACACCCTTCATTTGTAGCCTATATGTAAAAGACATTCCATAGCAGTCACCTTCATGATAAACTATGGAAAGAGAAGCAACAGGCTGAGCGAGTGAACGGGTTTAGCAGGTTTTACCCTTCTGTATTAAACTTATTTGTTAAAATGGTTAGGATTCAAAGAGAGCAGGGTGTCTTGCTTCTCCAGAAATAACTCTGGGGCCATTCAGATAGTATTAATTCTAGAGTTCAAACTTTTATTACATATTGCAAAAAAAAACCCACTAGCTTTCCCAATTATGAATTTTGTATTTTAATCCTCCGGTCATTAGAAAACCAACCATTATTGTTTTGTGAAATGTAGAGGCACTTAGCTGCAAATGTTTAATTGTAACATGACTTGCTTGAATAGACTGAGTATATAACATGTAAGCACAATTTTGTCAGGGTATGTGAATGACGTCCATTTAGGAGCTAGATTTAATATAGCGTTCCATGTCTTTGTGAACTGACAATGTACTTAGTTCTGGTTGGTTGATGGTTTTTAAAGAAAACAAAAATAAGTTTACTCGTTTCCCAAGCTTGACATGATTCTTCTTTTTGCTTGTCTTTGTGTGCACATTTTGACAGCTCAAAGGAAGGAACATGAAAAAACATTGGGGAAGGCTTGTATGGTGAATTGCATCACCCCCAAAAGATTTTCTGGGAAGTAAATATCTTTCACCACTGTTTGCATTGATGCAGAGTTTATTGGCAACTGCCATTGCTTACCTTTGTAAACAGGACAAGGCTATAAAGTTTGTTTCCTGTCTAAGAAGAGAAGGACGAAGGGTGACATGATAACAGTGTTCCAATATCTCAAGGGTTGCCACAAAGAAGAAGCAGTCAAGCTATTCTCCAAAGCACCTGAAGGCAGGAAAAGAAGCAATGGATGGAAACTAACCAAAGAGAGAAGCAACCTAGAACTAAGGAGAAATTTCCTGACAGTTAGAACAATTAATCCGTGGAATGACTTGCTTCCAGAAGTTGTAAACGCTCCAACACTGGAAGTTTTTAAGAAGAGATTGGACAGCCATTTGTCTGAAATTTCCTGCCCAAGCAGGGGATTGGACTAGATGACCTCCAAGGTCCCTTCCAACTATTGTTGTTGTTGTTGTTGTGGCTTACGTTCCTACTGTGATCCAGTGTCCAAGAGAGGATGGGGTTCATTTAGCATTATGGAATGGGGTTCAAGATGAGGGATGTGAGTCAAATTTGAAAACTGCTTACAAATTGTTAGGATGATTTCTGCTTGAAGCTGTTCTCTTCAAGGAAAGTCAGCTGATCATCTGATCCTACTGGTTCTTGGGTGTATTTTTTTTTTTTTTACATTTTTTCAGCCGTACCAAAAAGCAGAATGAGAAATTTTCCAGCAAAGACCTTGTAGTTGGGTCAGTTTGTAAACACGATTACGATACTTTTGAGTTTTTGACATAGAGGTATTTTTGCCTCACAGGAAGATTTTCTGGCTAGAAATACTGCAGTACTTAAACCGAGGAAAAGGCAATCTACGAATGCAACAGGAAGTCACCAAAACACTCATTTCTCAATCATACAGGAAAGTGTTTTTTTTCCAGTGCAAACAGGCTAAGGCACTAAGTTTAATTCAATCGTATACTGTAAGGGTAGCATATTGTTCTAACCTATTAAAAATTGTTTTAGCAAATTAGGAGGGAGAAATGTTACTTGTGTGCTTTTCAAATGAAGTAATACATGATAGAATTCAGTCTGGTGATTTCTTATTTAACAGAGATCTTGTCCAGAATGCTGGAGAATTTAAAAGAAAAAGGACATTTTGGGATATGGGAAGACAGAAGACTATATCAACTGATTAAACCTTTGCAATTCATGTCTTGAAACCCAGTATATTTTCCAGGGAAGTAATTGACAACTTCACAGTCTCCAACTTCCACCCTTTTATATTTCCTTTTTTAGTTATGTTTCCAACTCTTCTCCCATCTTCCCACTGGCATCTTAGCTTTGTGCATGGAGGAAGATTAAAAACACTTCTGCTTTGAAACAGGCAAACTCCTGTATATGTTTGAAATGATCCAGGCTACATTAAATGCTCTGTTGATTCTCTGAATTATCAGTTCAAGAAATATATGGGTTGAACAGAGAACAAACAAATACGCCTACCTAATAATTCATACCCTACTTCGGACTATAAATACTAGGTTAGTTAGCAATTAATACAGATAAAATTAAAACTGACAACTACCTTCAGTTCAGTTTTAAAAGGCCTAAGACAGTGGTTCTCAACCTTTTTAATGCTGCGACCCCCAACCGGTCGTAAGTTGAGGACTGCTCAACTGGTCGTAAGTCGAGGACTACTCAACTGGTGCAGCACCGTTTGCAGAATGGGACTTTTGGCAGGCTCAACAGGGCAGAGACAGCCTGGACAATTCCTATTGGCTTTTGAAAGCCAATAGAATTAGACTCTATTCAAGAGAGTCTATTCTATTGGCTTTCAAAAGCCAATAGAATAAAAGGGAGTAGCACAGCTAAGGAAAAGGGGGAAAAATGGCGGACTGCGTTGTTTGGCGACCCCCGTGAAATGGTCGTTCAACCCCAAATGGGGTCCCGACCCACAGGTTGAGAACCACTGGCCTAAGACTAAGCAAACAAATTAAGACCATTTAGAAGAGGGATCTTAAAAAGAGCCGTGGTGGTACAGTGGTTAGAATGCAGTATTTTAGGCTAACTCTACCCCAGTCAGGAGTTTGATCCTGACTGCCTCAAGGTTGACTCAGCTTTCCATCCTTCCAAGATTGGTAAAATAAAGACCCAGATTGTTGGGGGCAAGATGCCGACTCTGTAAATTGCTTAGGAAGGGCTGCAAAAGCACTGTGAAGTGAGACAAGGGCTATTGCTATTAAAATGGAATCTCGTAATGGGTAAAACTGCTTCAATTCATTTTGTCTAGCCCAGGGGTAGGCAACCTTGGCTCTTTTATGACTCGTGGACTTCAACTCCCAGAATTCCTGAGCCACCCATGCTGAGGGGAAAGGGAGAAGTTTCCAAGCTGAGCCATGCTGGCTCAGGAATTCTGGGAGTTGAAGTCCACGAGTCATAAAAGAGCCAAGGTTGCCTACCCCTGGTCTAGCTTAAGAGGGGGGAAAAAAAAGGATTGTTAGCAAAAACAAGAACAAAAAGCCAGTCCCAGGCATTATTTGCCTAAAGCTGCCCAAAGTTGCAGCATCGGTCAGATGAGTGGCATAGAAATTTAATCAATAAATTGTGCATCTCCTTTCTAACTAGACGAGAATTTGATGGGGGGGGGGGAAATATTTTTTTAACTTCTGAACACATTTAGCAGAGGCTTTTGTAAACATAAATACTGGTATATGAAAGATAGGAACTCAAAAAGTATTTCGAAGTCATTTATTTTTCACGATCAAAGAACAATTTAACCTGTGCCAGCTCCCGGTCTGTATAAGTAGTCCCTGTTTAGCAAACATTTGTAGTTGTGGTGATGATGAAAAAGTCACTTTACAACCAGCCTTCACATTTATAACCTACTTTGGGTCTGTCAAGCAAAGGAAAGCTGGAGATCATCAGCAGAGTTATTTCACTTAGCGACTGCTTCACTTAACAACTAGGTTGTGAAGCCCAATTGTGGTTGCGAAATGAGGACTTTCCAGGCACAAATGCAGTTCCTGGTTCTGAGCAATAAAGCGGGGGTGCTGTCAGTTTCCATCTGATGTGAAGGAAAAGCTGTGCTCACCATCTTCTGGAACAGCTATATAAAAAAATGACATTTACACATAGCCTGAAATTTGGAATGATGCTTAATACAGATAGGGTGAAAAATTATTTCCAAAATAGAGGTGCTTTTATTTGGCAATCATTTCACCACAAAAATAGACTGTCCAGCTTGAAAAAAAGAAGTTCCACAGATCCGTTGGCTCTTATCAGAAGAAAGTCAAGACTTGGCAAAGCTTAGCCCTTGTGCACAGTGGCATCTGGCAAGTAATTAAGGCACACAGGTTTTTTCACGGCTGTATTTGTGATTGTCAGAACTGGACAGGAATATTCTGGCGATGGAGGAATGAAATCTTTATAGCTCTCAGCTGCTTCTTTGCAATCATCGCCTAAGACTGCAGAAAATGCACATTTGCAAAGGATCAGGACTGCTGTGCTAAGCTTCTTAGAATTAGATCTCAGGTTAGATAGGATGTGGGAGGAGGAACATTTAATCCATACCAAATATCTATGTATGGCTACACAACCACGTGCCAAAGTTTGCAACCCTCTGTGTACAATCTAGGGAAACATACTTACTGATAACTGAATGTCAAGTACGGAAGGCCTTTGTTAGAAGCCCGTGTACCATTCTCTGTATTCCTGAATGCCACATACAGTCATTCAGGCATGAGTTTTATTTAAGATGTTATAGGATCAATCTTTCAGTCTTCCCCTGAAGAGTTTTACTTGCTTACTTTCTGTGGGGTCCTTGGTGGTCTTTGGGCTTGGTGGTTTTCTTGCAGATGTTTCATTACCAAACTAGATAACATCATCAGTGCTGGCTTAGTGTTCATCTGCCAAATTTGTCTAATGCTAACAGGTTCGAGGCACCTTTGTTTTGGATCCATCCAACCTTCTATAAACTCCCAGCATTTGCCATTCAAGATATTCATCAAGGAAAAGAAAAGCACAATTGTAGCAACTTATCTATTAGACTACAATTCTGATCCTCTTTAGCTTGTGATCCTACTGCATTGCCATCCACCAAAGCCTGATTCCACTGAAACAGACCATAACAGAGGTAAATTAAAGACCCAGTTAAAACCATCTTGTTCCTTATGCTGCAGAAAACCAGAGTTTGACCAGGCAGATCTCATCTGGGTGGGGTCAGCCCACCAAGAGTGGGTTAAAACAGGCGAGAATTACACGTCATAATTTGGTAGCGTTGGAGTTAGGCAGCGGGATTTCTTCATATGCTATTTTCATGTAGGGATATTTCATGGGCAAAAACCAGTATTCCAGATTATAAAACAAGTAAAACCGATGATCCAGAACTACCTCTTCAAGTATCCTCAATAGATTAAGGAAGAACTCCTTCACGGAATGGTAAGGTTTGAAGGGCAAATAGAAATTCCTAATAGCCAATGCCAAGGATTTGTTTCCCCACGGTCCGAAGAGAGTTGTCTCATTGCCCAAGCAAACAGGCTCTCCGCTGAACAGAGTAATGGTTGTGTAATTTGTTTGGATCTTCTTGAAAACGGTCCCCAGCTCAGCCAGCTTCTGGTAGGTTCGTAGTACAAATTTGGAGCATTCATATGCCTCAAACCAGACACGGGAATTTTCTTCTGGGTTGCTTTTGACCGTCCAGGTCTCGTAGTAAATGCCAGTTTCATTGTCGTATTCCACCCATTTTGCCATTTGATTGAATATAGCTCCTAAAAAAAGGGGGGGGGGAAACAGAGTTGTGTTTTAGAAACTTACCTGCACAACTGTGCAGATGCTATTTTACAAAATAATCCAAACTTAGGGGGGTGGGAGAAAGATTTACAACTTTTGCTATTTTGCAGCATCATATTTTATTTTTCGGTAGTTTACCTGGCATCATCGGGAAGGCCTCACATGTTTATTTATAGGTAGCCCTCGACCTACAACAGTTTGTTTAGTGACCGTTCAAAGTTACAACAGCACTGAAAAATGTGACTTATGACCGTTTTTCACAGTTACAACCTTTGCAGCATCCCCATAATCACGTGATCAAAATTTAGACACTTGGCAAGTGGTTCATACTTATGACCGTTGCATCAGCATCCCAGATTCACTTAACAACCCTGTTACTAACTTAAAACCTGCAGTGATTCACTTAACAACGGTGGCAAGAAAGGTCGTAAAATAGGAGAAAACTTGCTTAACAAGTGTCTTGCTTAGCAACAGGAATTTTGGGCTCAGTTGTGGTCCTAAGGCAAGGATTACTTGTATACCACCCACATCCACTGGCAGAGAGGTGCAAGGATAGGTGTAGGTAGGTAGGTAGGTAGGTAGGTAGGTAGGTAGGTAGGTAGGTAGGTAGGTAGATAGATAGATAGATAGATAGATAGATAGATAGATAGATAGATAGATAGATAGATAATAGATGGATAGATAAGAGATGACGGCTGAATGGATGGATGGATGGATGGACAGATAGATAATGGATGGATAGATAATAGAGAGATAGATAGATAGATAGATAGATAGATAGATAGATAGATAGATAGATAGATAGACAGAGACAAACAGATACAGGTAGATAGATAATGGATGGATAGATGATAGATAGATAGATAGATAGATAGATAGATAGATAGATAGATAGATAGATAGATAGATAGATAGGCAGGCAGGCAGGCAGGCAGGCAGGCAGACAGACAGACAGACAGACAGACACAGGTAGATAGATAATGGATGGATAGATAATAGATAGACAGACAGACAGACAGATAATGGATGGATGGATAATAGATAATAGATGGATGGACAGATAAATGATAGATGGATAGATAATAGATGGATAGATAGATAATACATTATGGATGGATGGATAGACAGACAGACAGATTTCAGAACACAAGCAGCAGGTAGCCACTCATCTATCTTTGGTCAGCTATCCGTTTACCTGAAATTGTAGCCACCTGGACCAGGGTGCCATTCTCCTTCCAGTGGGCGTCATCGATCCCTTCATAGAAACAGGCCGCCCCCTGGTTGCACCAGAAGGGGGCGGGGTCCTCAGGCCGCAGGTGTGGGAAGGTGCAGTTCCCAAGCTGGAAAAGCTCGTACCATTCCATTGTGTAGTTCTTCCCAGTCAAGGAGCTTCTGAAGCCCACAGCATCGTGCATGATTTTCTGGGAAAGAAAACAAACAACGGGCTACAGAGGCGGACCAGTGAGCTAAGATTTTCCTCCCCCCCCCCCGCCCAAACTCAGGGAAAAGCAAAGCAGCAAATATTCCATCCAGGGGCATTAAAAGCTGCAAAGTTCCCAACACAATCAGCGTTTTGGTTTCTAAGAAAAAAATATGTGTTTCCCGAAATCTTTCCTAATCTTTGGTTCCGCTCCCCTCTGGGAGCCATTTGGCCTAAGAGGATGCAAGACTTGAGGGCATAACTGGCACCAAGTTGTGGCTTATTTAAGCAAGAGATCCCAAGTTCAAATCCAGCCCTCTAGCCAGGAAAGCCGGCTAGATGACTTCGTCCAGTCCCCCTCTCTCAGCCCAACGTCATAGGGTTGTTGTTGTAGGGAAGGGTGGAGGAGGAAGGTGTGGTGAATACGTTTGCCACTTGATTTGCAAAAATTAATAAAAGCGGAATACAAATTAAGTAAATAAATAATGTCTTTGTTTCCACGCTGAAATTTTACCCGCTGGCTGTGGAATTCTGGGAGTTGAAGTCCACAAGTCTTAAAGTTGCCAAGATTGGGGGCTCCTTGTTATAAGGCAGTGGTTCTCAACCTGTGGGTCGGGACCCCATTTGGGGTCGAACGACCATTTCACAGGGGTCACCAAACAACGCAGTCTGCCATTTCCCCCCCCCCTTTTCCTTAGCTGTGCTACTCCCTTTTATTCTATTGGCTTTCAAAAGCCAATAGGAATTGTCCAGGCTGTCTCTGCCCTGCTGAGCCCGCCAAGTCCCATTCTGCACCAATTGAGTAGTCCTCGACTTACGACCAGTTGAGTAGTCCTCGATTTACAACCAGTTGGGGATCGCGGCATTAAAAAGGTTGAGAACCACTGTTATAAGGGGATCAAAATCATAATGGGGGGGAAAAAAAAAGAACTTTTACAAACTTCTAAGTGCCTAATCTCTCCCGCCCCTAAAGCAACACTCAAAGCCTCCGCGGAGCTCCTGCGCCTCCCGGGAGAACGCGAGACCCCACCCAACCCCATCAACCTCGGGATTTTTACCCCGGGATGACCTCGGAGGGGCAAGAGCGGAGCGGGATGGGCTCCAACCCCAACGACAAACGGTCTTACCAGGTGGCCCAGGAGCCCTCCGTACTTAAACTCCCAGACGGGAGCCTGCAAGCGATACACGGCCAGGACGTCCGTCTCCCGCATCTCCGGAAAGGCAGAGCCGCTCGGGCAAAAGGTGTAGCGCGCCTGGCAAAAGGGATCCGGCCGGGGACGGCGATCGAAGCGCCTGCGGGACGAGAGAAGCGTCACCGGGGGGCGCAATGGCAGCCCCGGCTCGAAGGGCTTTGCCCGCTGCCTCCCAGAACCCAGCCCGGCACTGCTTCGGCCCCGATACTCGCCTGTAAGGAACCGGCCAGCGGCCCTGGCCCTCGCAGGTCTTCGCTCTGCTGGCGGGCGGTTGCAGCAGCGGCAGCAGCGGCAGCAGCAGCAGCAACCGGGCCACGGTCGGCTGCCCCATCCCGGCCGCGCAAGAGACCAACACCGGTCCGCGTTGCGCAGCGGCTTCTGATCTTGCTTGCTCCCGCCGTCAGCTGAGCAGGGCCCGGGAGTCACGTGACCCGGGAGAGGGCGGGGACGCGCCCCGCCGTCCCCTGAGATCAGCTGGGGGAGGATTCCTTTGCAGGCTGCCCCAGCGGGGACCGGAGGCTAAACGGAGGGATCTTCAAATTTGGCCCTTTTATTGACTTGTGGACTACAACTCCCAGAATTCTTCAGCCAGCGTGCCTGGCTGAGGGAATTCTGGGAGTTGAAGTCCACCAGTGCTAAAAGGGCCAAGTTTGAAAAGCCCTGGGCTAAAACATACCAAGAACAGTCGGGGGAATTGGCGGGAAAAGCGCAGAGAAGAGCAAGAAAGATGATTAAGGGAATTGGAGGCTTAAACATACTAAGAAGGGTCGCAGGAATTGGGGTAGGCAACCTTGGCTCTTTTATGACTCGTGGACTTCAACTACCAGAATTCCTGAGCCAGCCATGCTGGCTCAGGAATTCTGGGAGTTGAAGTCCACAAGACATAAAAGAGCCAAGATTGTCTACCCCTGGTCTACTTTAATGAAAAGGAGGGAGCGACATGATAGCAGTGTCCCAAATGACTAGTCCTGATCTCTATTTCTTAAAAGTTTCCAACGTATTTAAGTCTTAGAGCACACCCAATCCACACAGCTAAGGCAAGAGATGATTAGGAGGCTGGAGGCTAAAATATATAAAGAACTTTTGCTGATATTGGGTATGACTAGTTTAGTGAAAAGAAGGACTGGGGGCGGGGGTGTGATCACAGTGTTTCAATATTTGAGGAGCTGCCATTAAGGAAGATAAGGTCTTCTACAAAGCAACAGAAGGCAGGACAAGAAGCAATGGATGGAAACCAATCAAGGAGAGAAGCAATCTAGAACTAAGGAGAAATTTCCTGACTGTTAGGACAATCAGTGGAACACCTTGTCTCCGGAAGATTTAGGTACTGCATCACTGGAGGCTTTTAAGAAGAGATCAGAATAGAGCTGGAAGGGACTTTGAAGGTCTTCTAATCCAACCCCTGCACAAGCAGGAGACTCTACCATTTCAGCAGTGCTTTTTTTTTTGTCATAGAACTCACTGAAATGGAGTTCCAGCACCTTTTTTTGACAGATTTTCCAAGTTTTAAAAAATAACTTTTGAAAATTTGATGTTTGGTCCACATGGACTTGAATCGCCCTGTTGAGCGTAGCAGGTCTGTGGCAAAATCATTAAAACGGTGCATGTGGCTGCTTGTGTGTCAGTCCAATGCATGAATACGTCGTCCGGCTGCTTGGCTTGTGGCACTGCTCGGCTTGTGATGGGTCGTGTGGTCGCGTGCTGAGTGCTTACTGCGAGCGACGATTGTTATGTTTGTTATACAACTGATGTGTGTGGGTATGTGTACAGTGATTGATTACATGCGAAACGTAAATAAAACGTTAACAAGATGTGAGTAAAAGCCTCCAGTGATGGAGCATCCATGACTTCTGAAGACAAGCTGTTCTACTGGTTAATTGTTCTCGCTCTCAAGCCGTTCTACTGGTTAATTGTTCTTACTCTCAAGCCGTTCTACTGGTTAATTGTTCTCGTTCTTAGGAAATTTCTCCTTAATTCCAGGTTGCTTCTTTCCTTGATTAATTTCCATCCATTGTTTCTTGTCCTTCCCTCTGATGCTTTGGAAAATAAGTTGACCCCCTCTTCTTTGAGACAGCCCCTCAAATACTGGAGAGATTGGAGAACAATGTGTGTGAAAGGCTATAGAGCAGCGGTTCTCAACCTGTGGGTCGTGACCCTTTTGGGGGTCGAACGACCCTTTCACAGGAGTCTCCTAAGACCATCGGAAAACACATATTTCCGATGGTCTTAGGAACCGAGACACTGCTCCGCATCCGTCTCCACACGGCCTCCTCCATTTGCAGAAAGAGAGAGAGGCACTTTTGCTTTCCTTCTCTCTCGCTTTCTCAGGAGGACTTACCTCCTGCAGGACTCCTGATTGGCCCTGCACCCGGGTGCCCCACCCCCTGGGAGAAGCGCAGCCAGGGCCTCGTGGCCTTTGAGCCGCCCGGGGAAGTCCCGGGATCCCTGTTGGGAGCGTCCCACTGGAGGCTCCGCTGAGCGGGCCAGCCCTCCCGCAAGCCATGGACCAAGGGAGACCAGCCACTGCAATCCCTAGCTAGCCCGACCATTGGACCTGCTGACCAGGAAGGCACGCCGGAGTCCAGGCTGCCAAGAAGGAAGAAGGAGATTCAGCAAAGGTAGGAGAGGAGAGTCGCCTCCTGGGGCCCAGCGCTGGCAGCAGCTTCCTTGCCATCCTCTTCCTCCTCCCCTTCTTCCTCCTATTGCCCCCAAAGCGGCTCGGGCGGGCACCGGGAGGAAGAGGGGTGCCTGGGGGGAGCAGCTGGGCTGGCGGAGGGGCTGGCAGGCCGCGCGGCACCAGCCCCCACCGTGGCTTCATCGAATGGGTGAGGCCGGGCAGTGCGGGGGCGGTGGGGACGGCGGCAGCAGTTTTCTCGCCCTTCTCCTCTCCTTCCTCTTGCTGCCCCCAAAGCGGCTCGGGTGGGCGCCGGGAGGAAGAGGGGTGCCTGGGGGAGAGCAGCCGGGCTGGCAGAGGGGCTGGCGGGCTGCGCGGCACCAGCCCCCACCGCGGCTTCATCAATGGACGGAGGACGAGGCTGGGCAGTGCGGGGGCAGTGGGGACCCTCGACGATGCAGCAGCAGCTGCTGCTGCCGTGGCCGCTACCTCCTATCCTGCTCCCCCTCTCCGCCCATTCAGCTGAGGACATGGCGGAGGCCAGGCCGGGGGTGGTGGGGACCTCCGACGATGCTGCTGTAAGAGAGAGAGAGAAAGAGAGGAAAGAGAGAGAGAAAGAGAAAGAGAAGGGAAAGAGAGAGAAAGAGAAAGGGAGGAAACAGAGAAAGAGAGAGAAAGAAAGAAAGAAAGAGGAAAGAGAAAGAGGAAAGAGAGAAAAAGAGGAAAGAGAGAGAGAAACGGGCAGAGGAAAGAAAAAGAGGAAAGAGGGAGAGAGAGAAGAGAGAGAGGAAAGAGGGAAAGAGGAAAGAGGAAGAGAGAGGAAAGAGAAAGAGAAAGAGAAGAGAGAGAGAGGAAAGAGAAAGAAAGGAAAGAGAAACAGAAAAAGGAAAGAAACAGGAAAAGAGAGGAAAGAGAGAAAGAGAGAGAGGGAGGAAAGAGAGAGAGAAGAGAGAGAGGAAAGAGAAAGAGAAAGAGGAAAGAAAGAGAGAGAGGAAAGAGAGAGAAAGAGGGAGAGGAATGGCGCTTCTCCAACCAGGTTGGGCAGAGCCGGCGGAGCGACCTTCCTGCCCCCCCTCCCCGGCCAGCTAGATGGGGGGTTGGGGGTCACCACAACATGAGGAACTGTATTAAAGGGTTGCGGCATTAGGAAGGTTGAGAACCACTGCTATAGAGTTTCTTGCTTCAGCAGGAGGTTGCACTAGACAGGGGTAGGCAACCTTGGCTCTTTTATGACTCGTGGACTTCAACTCCCAGAATTCCTGAGCCAGCCACGCTGAGGGGAAAGGGAGAGGTTTCCAAGCTGAGCCAGGCTGGCTCAGGAATTCTGGGAGTTGAAGTCCACAAGTCATAAAAGAGCCAAGGTTGCCTACCCGTGCACTAGAAGATCTCCAAGGTTCCTTCCAACTCTGTTATTCTGTTATATTCCTGCCCACCAGAGGCGATCCGGAGGTTGGATGGACAGTTGCAGGGACCTGTGCAGCCTTTTTATGCCACTGCAAAAACTATAAATCGCACAGAAGAATTTTGCTGCCCTTCCGGCAAAATGTCCATCTAAGAGTAATAAAGCATTTTTTGGTGAGAAATAATCTACCTGGGGTAGAAAACAAACCAGGTTTTGCTTCCGTGTTAAGCTTTAGGAAGCTCGGATGTGTTTCTGCAGAAGAATCTGGATTAAATAATATTGTTTACCTTTCCATTCCTTCCTAAAGAGGATGTACACCTTAGCTGGGTGGATTTAATTCAGAAAAATACCCAAATTTTGTGGGAAATCAAACAGAAATTCCATTGACTTCATGTCTGTTTCTCCTAGTGCAGGGGGAGGCAACCTCGGCTCTTTTATGACTCATGGACTTCACCTCCCAGAATTCCTGAGCCAGCATGGCTCAGCTTGGAAACTCTCCCTTTCCCCTCAGCGTGGCTGGCTCAGGAATTCTGGGAGTTGAAGTCCACGAGTCATAAAAGAGCCAAGGTTGCCTATCCCTATCCTAGAGCATGTTATTCACTCATTCATTTATTCATTCATTTATATATATACATACATACATCCCGCCTTTATTAATTATGCAATAAAGTCAAGGTGGTGAATGTATCCAATACACCTCCCTCCTCTTATTTTCCCCCTAACAACAACCTTGTCAGTGGGTTCGACTGGGAGAGAGTGACTGGCCCATGGTCACCCAGCTGACTTTCATGCCTAAGGCAGGACTTGAACTCGGGGTCCCTTCCTTTCTAACCTGCCGCCATAGAAAGAGCTCAGAAATAAAAAGGAGTGTGATATGTAATTTTGAATATATACTGCTCAAAAAAATAAAGGGAACACAAACGTATAGGATCCTATACGTTTGTGTTCCCTTTATTTTTTTGAGCAGTATATATTAGCAAGAAGAAGGCTATTGAGTGATTAATTAACATATTGTTTATGAGAATTAACTATTTTCTATTATTGTTAAATACATGAACCCAAACATTATGCTGTTTGCTAAATATTGAGAATGCTACTTGGAAAAACCCCAGCCCCAACCCTAACCTTAATCCTAACCCTAACCTAAATCCCAACCCCATCTTATTCCTATTCCCCATGAAAACTAATAAAATCTATACAAAAAGAAAGAAAGAAAGAAAGAAAGAGCTCAGAAATAAATGAGAACAATCCAGACGAAAGTGGTTCTTATTACAGAATATTTATAAGAAAAGCCAGCACTCTTACACACACAGGCTGACTTCTTAGATAATAAAGGGCATAAGTGCAACGAGAACAACAATTCGTCTCCAGGCAAGGGTTGCTAATAACAAGTAGACCTTGATTTACGACCACAATTGAACCAACATTTTTGTTGCTAAGCAAGACCGTTATTAAGTGAGTTTCCCCCCATTTTACAACCTTTCTTTCAACAGTTATTAAGTGAATCACTGCAGGTGTTAAGTTAGTAACATGGCTTCCCTATTGATTATGCTTGTCAGAAGGTCACAAAAAGGGGGATCCCATGACTCCGGGACACTGCAACTGTCATAAATATGAGCCAGTTGCCGACCATCTGAATTTTGATCATATGGCCATGGGCAGGGGTAGGCAACCTGGGCTCTTTTATGACTCGTGGACTTCAACTCCCAGAATTCCTGAGCCAGCCACGCTGAGGAGAAATGGAAAGGTTTCCATATTGAGGCATGCTGGCTTGGGAATTCTGGGAGTTGAAGTCCACGAGTTATAAAAGAGCCAAGGTTGCCTACCCCTGGCCATGGGGATGCTGCAACAGCCCAAAGTGTGGAAAACGGTCATAATTCATTTTTTCCCAGTGCCTTTGTAACTTCGAATGGCCACTAAACAAACTGTTATATATTGAGGACTACCAGTACATGGCATTAGTGCAAGGAGAACCATAGTTCATGCCTTGCCAGTGGGGGCAATAAATTATCCAACTCTTCCACAGGGGAGAACCCATTCAGAATCTGGTCCTCAAGTTGTTGTTGTTAATTGCGAAGTCATGTCCGACCCATCGTGACCCCATGGACAATGTTCCTCCAGGTCTTCCTGTCCTCTACCATCTTCTGGAGTCTATTTAAGTTCACACCTACTGCTTCAGTAGGTGTGAACTTAATCAAGTAATGGCCGTTTAACAAATAAGTGCATAAGATTAGACAGGAATCAAGGAAGCTCAGATGATGCTAGATTGTGGCTGATCATTAAGCCCAGGCTAGGAAGGTCCTTCTGGGGACAGGTAGGCCTCACAAAGTCTCCCTCTTCTGTTGCCGCAAATCTTTTGCCAGCTCAGCTCCTTGAAGAAGTGAGAATAAGTCCCCGCAGTCTTCCAGGTTTTCCAGCTTATCAATTGTTTCTACTAGGCTTTCAGCCACTTCTGGGGAGACCGCAGCAGTGGCATTGCAGTGGAACTTCTTCACCAAATCCCTGTGGCTCAAGGGCTTCCTCCAGTGGCCATAGAAGGTTTCACAACGCTCTTCCCAAGTGTTTCCATCTTGGAAGATGACTTTGACCCCACAGTAAAGGCTGTTGAAGCTGGGAAGATTGTCCGGAGAATGCTTCATACTGGTCTTTTGGAGGAGGCCATTCAACTCCGGCCTGGACAGGCTCTGCGGAATGAAGGATTCGGCCGAGATGAAGCCATCTAGCAGTGCTGCGCAGGCGACAAACTGGAAGGAGTGCCTGGCTTCATGTTCAGAAGAAGGAAATGGCCGATCAACATATCTAATACTGGGGACATCGAGCACAATGGCCTTGATGTGGCTAGTGGGCAGGGGCCCCCCACTCTGTGCAAGGTGCTTCCTTACTGCCAGGGCAGCTTCAGCCATCCAGTGTGTCCCCAGATGTGCTGGGAAGCTCTTGAAGGCCACATCTTGTCGATCCAACAACCAAGAGTACGACTGCAGGCTTGGCAGTGTCTGGGGCAGGTAATCTGTGTAAAAGGCCCCAAACCCTGACTCGAGGTCCAGAATCAGTTTGCTGGCTTGCAGGCCCAGAGAGGCCAGGAAAGCCGCTTCCGCACCATGCCGGCTGGCATTGCCCATGTGAAGTGGTTTGGTCTGGGTGGCTGCGTTGGCCAGTGGGGCACCGGCATACGAGGCGGCTACAGCCAGGGCTTCCTTGCACTTGGATTGGTCGAAACCCAGGAGTTTTGCGGTGGCTGCAGCACTTCCCATGGTGCCAAGAATGGAGGGTGGGTGGAACCTGGAAGAGTCCAAATGGCAGCTGTGAGCAGCAGAAGGAACAAGGGCTGTGAGGACAGATGTCTGCTTGGAAGGCACAACAAGACAAGCAACCCATTTCTGGTGCCCTCAGATGGAGAGGGATCTCCACAAAGTTGGCAAAAGCTCATCTCTTCTCTTGTGCCATTGGAAAAGGAGAATTCACACACATCTGGGGGACAGTTCTTGTCAGATCATGCACAGTCTTATTGTGCGAGATAATCCAGGAGTAAATACAGTAAACAGTGGTTTGTATTAAATGGTGGTTTATCTTACACTATCTACAATATTATACATCAAGAACAATATACATGCACGTGCTGATACTGCAGGATCCAACAAACCACAATTACAGAAGAGAGAAAACATAGCAGCAGAGCCTTCCCTTTTATACAAAAGCTCTTAAAGGGACATAGACCCTGCTGAGTCATTCCCATCATTACATCATACATCTCACATTAGACAAGCTGGTTAGCTTCTAAATCATTACTTTGACAGTTCTCCATCAGAAGTCCAAAGGGCTTAAGGATTAAGGCTTCCGTGTTATTTACATATGGCTGTTGTCTTCATGTACACAGTTGCAGGTAGTCCACAACTTATGATCACAACTAAGCCCCAAATTTCTAATGCTAGGTGAGACAGCTGTTAAGTGAATTTTGCTACACTCCCTTAACAACCATGTTAGTGACTTAACAACTGCAGCGATTCACTTAACCACTGTGGCAAGAATGGCGGTAAAATGGGGCAAAACCCACCTAACAGCTGTATCACTTAGCGGCAGAAATTTGGGGCTCAATTTTGGTCATAAGTCAAGGACTCCTATAAACATAAAGAGTCAGCAAATCCCACCTTCACTCACTCACTTACCTAATTGGGTACCGAAATGCCTGCAAGCAAACAAAATCAGAGTATATCCAGGACTCCACAGAGGCAGAGCTGTGCTGTTGCCCTGTATGGAGTCGTATTCATCACTTGCCAAAAGAAACCCTGTTTGGATGGAGATCAAAGGTGGCCACAGGAACCTCCTTCAGAATCTGTGCTGGTTCCTGACTATGTGATATTCCTCCCTGCCCTTTTTTGGGGGGCTCAGGATGCATCACTGAAGCTGCAGGTTATGAGTAGGACAAGGTCTCCCCTTCTACAGGGGGGCCTACAGGAGTCCCCTTCTCAACATTCCTGGTGAATCCATTGGCCTAGAAGGTTTGGTCATGAGTCACCTTTTTTTCAGTGCTGTTGTAACATCAAATGGCCCCCAAACAAACTGTTGAAAGTTGACAACTGGGAACCGGTCAGTCCTAGAAGAGATCAACCCCGACTGCTCTTTAGAAGGCCAGATCCTGAAGTTGAAACTCAAATACTTTGGCCACCTAATGAGAAGGAAGGACTCACTGGAGAAGGGCCTAATGCTGGGAAAGATTGAGGGCAATAGAAGAAGGGGACGACAGAGAATGAGATGGCTGGATGGAGTCACTGAAGCAGTAGGTGTGAGTTTAAATGGACTCCAGAAGATGGTAGAGGACAGGAAGACCTGGAGGAATGTTGTCCATGGGGTCGCGATGGGTCAGACACGACTTCGCAATTAACAACAACAACAAAGGCAAGAGGTGCCCATAAATGATCTGATCTGCCACATGGGAAAGCCCATTCAGGATCTGATGATCAAGTAATGGCTATCTAACAAAGAAGCCCACTCACCTTTAGATAGGAATAAATGAAGCTCAGATCATGCTAGGTAGGGTCATGGGTGACCAGTAAGGCCAAGTCAGGGGAATCCCTCTGGGACCTATTTCAAAGCAAGTTTTTTTTTTTTAAAAAAAAAACAGACCTTTTAGGAAGATTGCTGGCCTCCTTGGAGAAGCTCATCAGTCTGCCTTGCACCTCAATCCCAACGTTGAAAGCCAAGAGCAAGTCACAGCCAGAAATCCTTTGTTTTTCAGCCACACCTTCAGCAACGGCCATGAGGGCTGACAGCACTGGCCCCGAAGGATGGGTGGTTGGATGCCACGTATCATCAAAATCCATGGAGTGTATCTGTGGGGAGGGGGGCAGAGAGAAAAGAAATTTTGAGTCAGGGAAGTTGAAATTGAGGCAGGGGTTTTCCCAGTTGCAATGTATGGCTGTGAAAGTTGGACCATAAGAATTGAGGCCTTTGAACTAGGGTGCTGGAGAAGACTCCTGTGAGTCCCCTGGACTGCAAACCGGTCAGTCCTAGAGGAGATCAACCCTGACTGCTCTTTAAAAGGCCAGATCCTGAAGTTGAAACTCAAGTACTTTGGCCACCTAATGAGAAGGAAGGACTCACTGGAGAAGAGCCTAATGCTGGGAAAGATGGAGGGCAATAGAAGAATGGGACGACAGAGAATGAGGTGGCTGGATGGAGTCACTGAAGCAGTAGGCATGAGCTTAAATGGACTCCAGAAGATGGTAGAGGACAGGAAGATCTGGAGGAACGTTGTCCATGGGGTCGCGATGGGTCGGACATGACTTCGCAACTAACAACAACAATCTAATAATTTATGATGAATGTATTTTATGATTATGATCATGATTTATCCATTTGTTGCTTCTGTATACACTGTGAGTTTATGCACCGGAGACAAATTCCTTGTGTATACAATCACACTTGGCCAGTAAAGAATTCTACTTCTAAAGAATTCTATTTCTACTAAAAGTAAAAAGTTGAGATTTGGTGTTATTATCTTATTCTGCTGCACCAAAGGGAGTCAGAAGTCAATGCATTTTCTTTCTTTCTTTCTTTCTTTCTTTCTTTCTTTCTTTCTTTCTTTCTTTCTTTCTTTCTTTCTTTCTTTCTTTTTTCCCTTTGCCCCACACTTTCCCCTTCCCTTTTCCCTCCCTTACTATTTTCTTTTGTACTTTTAAATTAAAAGTACAATTAAAATTAAAATTAAATTAAAATTTAAAAAAATAAAGAAACAAGCCAAACTGAACTCCTCAGATCCCAGCACACACCCACTCAGAGCAAACAGATTGAGTGGTGGTTATATGAGCCCCAGCAACTTTCTCCCAGCAAAAACCAGGTGGAATCAGAGGGGGGTAGGGAGTACCAAGAGCTGCTTACCGCCACCCCGTTCACCAATGCTGCGTAGAGCGGAGGCAGCTTGAGCGTTGAGCATCCCCAGACAGAACTGGATGAATCCGAGCTGTAGATCTGAAAGAATACCAGGCCTGCTTAGAAGGAACTTTTGCATGTGAAACCAAACAGCTGCTTCTCTTTATTCTCTCCTTTGCTCATTCCACCAAGAGCATCAAGCTCAAGAAATCAGGAACCAGGATAAAGTTCAAAAGTACTACAAATTGTATGCTATCTATATCCAAGAATCTGATCTACTAACGGTCAAGGCAAATGGGTGCATAAGCAATGAGCAGATGCTCCAAAATTCAACAAGGTGTCTGTCAGTTCCAAGAAGTCAGTAAACCAGGACAGAGTTCAAAAGCACTACAAGTTTATTCCAAGCAACCCTATAAACAAGAATCTGATCTACTAACGGTCAAGGCAAATGGGTGCCCAAGCAATGAGCAGATGCTCCAAAATTCAATAGTGCATCTGTCAGGTCCAAGACCAATAAACCAGGATAAAGTTCAAAAGTATTCCAAGTTTATTCCCTGAAATCTATACATAAGAATCTGAACTACTAACAGTCATAGTGAATTGGCACCAGATAAGAGTCAATGGACTTCAAGGAGGGTTGAATTCAGGTCCCTTACAGTGGTGTAGTGACTCCAAACTGATGATGTATTTGACCCCATAGTAGCTTGGTTATCTACTACCAACAGGGCAACAGCAAGAGGACCTACTCCCTCTTAGGCAGAACTCACCTGCATGGATCTCTGTCATGGGCAAATAGATGCTGGCCAAGGGCAGCAGTTTGATAGTGGACTCCATGGTTGCTATCATTTGGGGAGGGGGATAGATCTCAGGCTATCTGGAATGCAGTCCTTGGGGAGCAAAGGGGGGGGGTCCCTTGCTGGAGGAATGGGCTGGAACACTACCTCATCTGTCCCATGCCTGCCCAGCCAGGAAGAGGAACCCTCAAATGGAGAACTGATTTACCCCTTCAATGAATGGAGGGGAGAAGGCTTTTGGAAAAGGGCACCTTGTGCTAATCTCCATAGTGGAAAGAAACAGCAATAAGGATAACCTGTGACAAAATACAGGGCTGTTACCTTAAAAGAGATGTGGGGAACTATAGCTCCTTAATGACTTGTAGACTTCAACTCCCAGAATTCCTGAGTCAGCCATGCTGGCTCAAGAGTTCTGGGAGTTGAAGTCCACAGGTCGTAAAAGGGGCATAGTTCCCCATCCCTGCCTTAAAAGATCATCCAAATAACTGCCTAGCCTAAAAAGTGAGTTTTCTTCCCCGAGAATTAGACAAGAGATTGTCTTACCTTGCTGTACTGGATGAGCTTCTGGAAGATGTCGGTTCTGGTGCCCACCAGTCCGACCCCCAAAGTATCCAGAATCATCCGTTTGCTCCTCTGAATGACTCGGTCGGTCAGGTGGCTTGAATTCAACCCATGGATCACATTAGCAAAGTTCCCCGTAATATTCTGGCAAAGAGAAACCAAACCATGATAGCCACATTTCCCTTCAAACTGTGATAGCCACGTTTCCCCTCAAACTGTGATAGCCATGTTTCCCCTCAAATCATGATAGCCACGTTTCTCCTCAAACTGTGATAGCCATGTTTTCCCTCAAACTGTGATAGCCACGTTTCCCCTCAAACTGTGATAGCCATGTTTCCCCTCAAATCATGATAGCCACGTTTCTCCTCAAACTGTGATAGCCACATTTCTCCTCAAACTGTGATAGCGATGTTTTCCCTCAAACTGTGATAGCCATGTTTCCCTTCAAATCATTAGCCACGTTTCTCCTCAAACTGTGATAGCCACATTTCTCCTCAAACTGTGATAGCGACGTTTCCCCTCAAACTGTGATAGCCATGTTTCCCCTCAAACTGTGATAGCCACGTTTCCCCTCCCCTGCCATTTTCTCCAGATCCTAACCTACTTGGATTTATCTTCACAGAAGCAAACTACAGGTAATCCTCGACCTACAATAGTTCATTTAGTGACCACTCAAAGTTACAATGGCACTGAAAAAAGTGACTTATGGCAGTTTTTCACACTTACGACCATTGCAGCATCCCCAGGTCACGTGATCAAAATTTTGACGCCAGGCAACTAACTCACATTTATGATGTTTACAGTGTCCCAGGGTCATGTGATCCCCTTTTGCGACCTTCTGACTGGTGTGGGAAGTCAGCCCCCCCCCAGAGAAGAAAATATTAAAGAGGCAGAAAAGCATGCCCAGTTTTTCTTTATAACCCCAAGTCTCCCTCTCCCAAGCAGTAACCAGCTCTGTAGAAATGCAGATGTAAACCATTCAGGAAGGTTGAAGCTAGAAGATTAAGAAGACAAAGACACCTAAAATCTACATACCCCACACAAACTCGAAGACAGGACATAATAGAATTAAACCACAGATGCCAAAAAGGCACATTCAGACTCAGGTCAAAGTTCATGCCACAGGAACAACTCCAAACAAATGGCTCTAGAAGGTATAAAAACCCACTCCCTACATGGGCTCTCTCTCTTTTCTTCCAGAGCCATCTTTCTCTCTGGCTCTCCTCTTCAATAAACTGCAACCTTCTTTCTAAAGCAGTCGCCATGTTGTTTATTCCCTGCTTGGACTGAACCATGATGAAGACTTTTCCTTCAACACTGGCAAAATCAATGGGGAAGCCAGATTCACTGAACAACTTTGTTAACAGCTTAATAGCTGCAGTGATTCACTTAACAGCTGTGGCAATAAAGGTCATAAAAAGGGGCAAAAGCCACTTAACAACTGTCTCGCTTAGCAACAGAAATGTTGGGCTCAACCGTGGTCATAGGTTGAGGACTCCCTGGGATAACCTGTCCATTTCCTACCTGCTTGTCACCCCCCATGGAGCAGAAACACTTGTTATATCAGAAAATGACCTCATTTCCACAACCCCCTGCTCTACTGACAACGTAGAGAAGTGGACTCAAGGAAGGAAATGGGGCCTACCAAATTATGACCCACACCCAGCTCCTGCCCGGTTTCTGCAGGCTGAGGGGATGGTCTTTGCCTCTCTCTGGCTTTTCTCTAGCTGCGAGGGGTTGGTACCTGGGTAATACCAACATGGCCACGCCATGCCAACAACTCTCTCTCCAGTGGGAATCCCATAATGTTAACCTTGGCCCTACAGGAGGAGCAGAGGAAGTTGCTTCCCATTCTACTCAGCTCAACCAGTCCGTGCTGATCTCTGATGGGTCTCTCGGGCCTCAAGGGCAATTTCGCCCACCTTGGTTACCTGACTCTCCTAGAAGGTCAACAGACATTAGGTCTGCAACCTTCAACAGACAAAGCCACATATTCCTCTCTCCTAAGCCCTCTGCCTAGCCCAGGGGTAGGCAACTTTGGCTCTTTTATGACTCGTGGACTTCAACTCCCAGAATTCCTGAGGTTGCCTACCCCTAGCCTAGCCCAAAAGAGAAAAAGACTCCTGCATTTCTCCATCAGTAATCAGCACTCAGATCAGCATAGATTAACTCCAAGGTCAACTTCAGACCAACAATACTCCAATCAAGAAACTGCCACAAAGCCATTAGCAAACAGCCGAACCAAAGAATCCCTAAGATTTGCCCCCACCCACACAGACAGGCAAGACACCAGAATATAACTTGACAGCAAACAACACTCCTTACTAGCCCCCATGATGTTACCTAGTTAGGGTTTTCTGCAAGAAAACAAGCAAGCTCAGAGAGCACCAAGGACCCTCTGTCTCCTTGGCTTCAGCTGGAGCATCCATCCTCCTCCTGGGAGCAAGACACGGAAGAACATACCTTGGCCCACATGATGCCACAGAGAGATGTCCTGCGCCTGCAAAGCCCAGGATGGAGAGGCTGAGTCTCTTCCTTTTATACATGTTTGAAGGGGAGTGATGGGCGGTTAGTTCCAATGGCCTTTCAACATCTCCAAGTTTCCCCTGCTCTACATGCCCCATTGGCAGCTGCTGCCCCAGATTGCAACACAGCCCCTGGATTAACAGCAAGTCATGTGCTGAGTCAAGCAAGAAGCTTTGGGCTGATGAGGAAGTCTTGTGAGTGACGCAGTGGTAGTCCCCAGATATCCCCAGGCATTGGCATGTTGTGAAAGGACACCTCTGGAGACAAGGCCCTAAACCTCTTTCATCAATGGGGCTTCCTGGCCAAGGACACAACGGATGCTTACGGGGATTCCCACAGTAGAAGAAACACAGCTACTGTTTATCTGTCAGCCTGACATTAGTAGGTGGCAGAAACACTGCTACTACAAGTAGTCCTTAAGCCCCACGTTTCCATTTGCTAAATGAGAGAGTGAAGTGAATTTTGCCCCATTTTAACCATCTTTCTTGCCACAACTGTGAAGTGGATCCCTGCGGTTGTTGAGCTAGTGACAAAGTTGTTAAATGAACAACTGGTTTTCCCCGTTCAATTTGCATGTCAGAAGGTATCACAAAAGGGGATCACATGACCCTGTCATAAATATGATTCAGAGGCCAAGCATCTGAATTTTGACCACATTTTCCCTGGGGTTGCTGCAATGATCATAAGTGTGAAAAATGGTCATCGGTCACTATTTTTAGTGCTGTTGTAACTTCAAACGGTCACAAAATGAATTATTGTAGGCTCATTTGCTTGTAGATGTCTGTCTGCCTGACATTAGCAGGTGGCAGAAAGAACATCTCTTGGTCCATCCACGCATTGTCCAAAATGATGCAGCCCAACTTAAGATATTGAGCGCCAAAGAATTGAGGCCTTTGAACTATGGTGCTGGAGAAGACTCCTGCGAGTCCCCTGGACTGCAAAGAGATCAAACCGGTCAGTCCTAGAGGAGATCAACCCCGACTGCTCTTTAGAAGGCCAGATCCTGCAGTTGAAACTCAAGTACTTTGGCCACCTAATGAGAAGGAAGAACTCACTGGAGAGGGCCTAATGCTGGGAAAGATTGAGGGCAATAGAAGAAGGGGACGACAGAGAATGAGGTGGCTGGATGGAGTCACTGAAGCAGTAGGTGTGAGCTTAAATGGACTCCAGAAGATGGTGGAGGACAGGAAGGCCTGGAGGAACATTCATGTGGTTGCGATGGGTCGGACACGACTTCACAACTAACAACAACATTGGGCCTTCTGCTCACTTAACCTTAATGAAAGTGTCCCTTTTGTTCCTGCCAGATCTGTGATTTGAGCAGGGAGTCCAATGTATGGAAGACAGTTTCACAACTGTCCCAAAGGTGCTTTTTCAAGAGACAATTGGACTCTTCTTGTTTTTCTTTGAAGACGTTTCACTTCTCATCCAAGAAGCTCCTTCAGCTCTGACTGGATGGTGGGGAATGGAAGGATTGACATTCCTTGCAGACAGCTGGTCATTTGCCTTTTTTAAGAGAGTCCTTGAGGCCATTTGGAGAACATTGGAAACATTGGAGACTATAGGAACCATTTGCGCCTTGGTTGGAGATGCAGACAACACAGACTCATCCCCAACAGCCTCCGACTGTCTTCCAAAGAGAAGGGCAGCCAACATCCTGCAGCCAAAAAGGCTCTACATACATTTGCACTGTTCAGATGACCTTGGGAACATGGATAAACCTCCAAGTGGCTTCAACGACTCTCTAAAAGAAGACAAATGACCAACTATCTGCAGGGAGTACAAATCCTTCCATTCCCCACCATCCAGTCAGAGCTGAAGAAGCTTCTTGGATGAGAAGTGGAATGTCTTCACAGAAAAAACAAAAAAGTCCAGTTGCCTCCTGAAAAAGCATCTTTGGGACAACCATAACCTGGATGACTGAGAATCTCCATAGACACAGTTTCACAAGGAAACTTATCCAAAGGGATAAGAGATGTTTACCCTAGAACACAGGTCAGCAACCCGCGGCTCCGGAGCCACATGTGGCGCTCTCTCTCTCTCTCTCTCTCTCTCTCTCTCTCTCTCTCTCTCTCTCTCACACACACACACACACACACACACACACACTGAGTGGGGGAAGACCAAGAGCAGGGGAGAGTCAACCCAATAAGAATGTGTGTCAGCTTGTTGGAGAACAGCGTGAAGCCAGCTTGCCAGATGAGCAGAAGATTGGAGAGAGGGAGAGAGGGAGGGAGGGAGAGGGAGAGAGAGAGAGAGAGAGAGAGAGAGAGAGAGAGAGAACTCATGCATAGCAGCCTCTCTTTCTTTGTAATTAAACTCTTCAATGAAGCTTTCCCTCCTTGTGCCTGTGTGCGCGCATGCACAAGTTTTGCAGCTCCCAGTGTTTTCTTTTCTCTGGGAAATGGGTCCAAGTGGCTCTTGGAGTGTTTAAGATTGCCGGCCCCTGGCCTAGAAGAAAGAAGAGGAAGATATTATCCACAGAAACAATTCAGCAACCCAGAGCTTCTTATGAAAAGGGGGGCTCAACATTATCACCACCAGCCTGAGCAGGAAGTCTGGAGTAGATCCATCCAGTTCAGTTGGGGATGGTCTCGGTTGCTAAAGAATCTGACTGTGGGTCCTAGGAGGCTCTGAACAAGGCCAGCAGCTGCACCGACAAAACAAAAGTGAAGCTTTATTCATGAAACCTTGGCTTGTTCTTTCTGCCCCTCACCATCATGTGGTAGGAGACAAGCTGGCTGAGCCCGAGGGTGGGGTCAAATACACCACCAGTTTGGAATCTCTACACCTCATAATAGACCTAAATCCATGTCCTCCTTGAAATCCGTTTTTATCTGGCACCAATTTGCCTTGACCATTAATAGTCTCTGTTAGATCTGCCACCTTGCTCCCACTTTCGCTTTGCTTTATTGGCAGCCTGCCATGGATGTAGTGGGGGGGAGGGAAGAGAAACCATTTGGGAGGGGGGAAGGGAATACCACCAAAGTACTTTGTGCTGGCCAGAGACAACATCTCAAGGACACCCGGCCAGAGAGAAGAATGCAGCTGCATGCCAAGGTCAGCAGTTCCAAAAACATCTGGTTTGGAAATGATGGAATCATGGGAATTAACACGGGGAGGGGGGTGGAAGCAGACCTGGGAAGCAGGGGGGTCATTAGGGCAGGGGTGTCAAACTCAATTTCATTGAGGGCCGCATCAGCATTGTGGTTGTCCTCGGGGGCCAGGTAGGTGTGGCCAGGGTGGGTATGGCCTACTGGGTGGGTGTGGCTGGAGTGGGTGTGGCCTACTGGGTGGGAGTTCTACATTGTTCGCGTCAAGGGTGCCTGTGGGGGCCTGGGCAGGAGTGGGACAGATCTGAGGGTCTCTGGCAGAAGCGGGTAGGACCAGGGCAAGCGCCAAGGCATGGTCCACTGGAAGAGCCTGCCGAAACCCCTCCCCAGGAGCCCATCAAGCCGGATATGTGAAATAGGTGAGGGCCATTTGCTGTCCATTTCCAGGCGATGGTGTATTTCTTCATTCCTCACAAAGGGGGACATCTCCCCAGCATGCACCCAGGGGGCGGGGCGGATGTGGCAGGAGCTGTTTCCTCGCTGTTTCCAGACGACCTTGAACTAAAACTGAATGCGCTTCAGCATAGATGGTCACCACAAAATTGTACATTGACTCCTGGCCGGCCTGGGCCAAGGCAGTGGGAGCCGTTCCCTCACTATTTCCAGGATGGCTTCGTGGGCCACATGAAACCACCTTGCAGGCCACATCCGGCCCCGGGCCTTGTGTTTGACATGTCTGCATTAGGGAATTGCCACGGGAACCTCAGACCTGGCTTTGCTTTGCTTGACTTTAGTAAAACTACCTCACTCTAAAAATGGGAGTCATGGATCGTTTTCAATAAGGCTGCATTTCTCCCGTAAACGCAACAGTTTCCTGTAAAAGTTTGAAGTTGTGAAACTCCATTCAACACGAAAGGGTGACTTTCTTCACCCCAGTTTTATCAGTTTCACTTTCAGGTTGTACAGTGTTCCACCATCCTTTGCTTCTCCTTTTATACCTTCCCAAATAAATGATTCACAGTCCAGAAAACCCACTGCAAGAGAGGGACGTCACCATTTCATCTATAGAAGCAAAACCTGAAACCTTCTCAGAAACAAAATTTCAGGCTTTGTTAGGAACCGTGTGTGTGAAAGAATCTCTTTCTTTAGACATCTAAGATCCAGGTTAACCCACATTTTAAACAGAACTCCTGAGAGACAGGAGGGTTTTCTTCTCCAAGTATGAGAAAGTCTGGATTCACTCATTGTAAAGGCACATGGTGCTTTTCTGAGCAGTGAGATCTTCACAGTTTAAGGGTAGACATTTTGTGAATATGTCTTATTTTCAAAAACAAATGAACCAGAAGGGGAGGGGGCTTCTAACTCTCCTCCCAAGTTGGCCCATAAATCTGTTGGAATCAGACACTGAAGGACCGATGCCAACCTGGGCTCAGAACATGGTGGAACCACTTTGGATGTTACCATGCCCTAAAAATGTTATCTTTCAGGAGGAGGAGAAGGAGGTGGAGGAGGAGAAGGAGAAGAGGAGGACTAAGATGAGGATGAGTAGGAGAAGGAGGAGGAGGAGGAGGAGGAGGAGGAGGAGGAGGAGGAGGAGGAGGAGGAGAAGGAGGTCTAAGACTAAAACTAAGGTGAGGACGAGAAGGAGGAGGAGGAGAAGGAGAAGGAAGACTAAGATGAGGATGAGGAGAAGAAGGAGAAGAGGAGGACTAAGACTAAGATGAGGATGAGTAGGAGAAGGAGGAGAAGAAGGAGGAGGACTAAGACTAAGATGAGGATGAGTAGGAGAAGGAGGAGGAGGAGGAGGAGGAGGAGAAGGAGGTCTAAGACTAAAACTAAGGTGAGGACGAGAAGGAGGAGGAGGAGAAGGAAGACTAAGACTAAGATGAGGATGAGAAGGAGAAGAAGGAGAAGAGGAGGACTAAGACTAAGAGGAGGAGGAGGACGAGGAGAAGAAGGAGAAGGAGAAGAAGAAGAAGAAGAAGAAGAAGAAGAAGAAGAAGAAGAAGAAGAAGAAGAAGAAGAAGAAGAAGAAGAAGAAGAAGAAGAAGAAGAAGAAGAAGAAGAAGAAGAAGAAGAATAATCCTGTTTCTTCTCTATGAGAGCTTTGGAATGCTCCCTGTCTCTCTTATTCACTCTCTTTCCTTTCATGATCAAGAATGCTTTGCTTTGTTAGAAGAAGTATTCCCAGCGTCTTTTTAAAATTGGTACGAAAAGAAAATTTACTGCTACTGAATAAACCTAAAAGAGAGAGAGAGAGAGAGAGAGAGAGAGATGCGCTTCCTAGTTCTCCCTTCCAATTAGCAGAGGAGGCAGAGCTGCTCATTCATACACAGTACATTAAACAATCATCCCTGCTTGTACTTTGGGTGTCTGAATGGCCCCCAAATCTGTTTATATACTCCT